CCTGCCTTCACCCTGAGTCAGCTGGGATAGACTCTTCTGTGTCATTTGAATAAAGCTGCATTTAAATTAAAGGCCTTTTATAGTTACTGGTTAAAGTAAGTATCTGATTATTGTCATTTGAAGCCACATCTGACTACATGGATGAACTCAGTGATGGAGGTTTTGTCACCAGTTGAAGGTTTTTTTTTTTCTTCTGCACAAGTAGCTTTTAATACACTGTCAACATACATCTTTCTTCTTTTCTTTAAGTTATGGGAGGTTCCATTGTTTGTGGCCGTGGCTTCTTGACCTGTTCTGTCACGTCTGCTTTTATTTTGCACAGATCAAGTTGTTTACATGACGTACTGTGTAACTTTGCACATTTCCAGGTGATTCATTTGCACATTTCTGCACACTGAAAGTATTTCTATTAGTTTTGTGATTTATAAACCCTCGATTACTGCTCATTTGACTTAAACACTGCTTCTCATTTGTCTTTTAAGATTCCTGCCTGCTGACTGTTTAAAAAACTTTTATGCATTAAAACACCAAGTCCTTTAAAAACCTTTCCGATTGTGATTCTGTTTATTTCTGCTGTTGTGCAAATAAAAACGTTCAGGTTTGTATCTACAAAACGTTTGGTTTATTATTAGTCAAGACATTTTTTTTCTTCATAAGTCAGCCTCCTCTTTATCACGATATTTAAAAGAATCCAACGCTTTAGTAATAGATAATGTTTTTTAGGGTGAGGACGCCATCTAGTGGACAAACAAAGTATAAGCTGCAGTGATCATAAAAACTCGTCCCATAATTTCACATCTGGGCTCAGGGCTTGATATGAAAACCGAGTGAGAGGTCAGGAGGTCACTAAGTGTTTTAGGATGTGGCTGTTGGTGCACATTTACGGGCTTTTTTATCCTCAGTGACTCTTTGGAGACTTAAAAAAAAAAAGTGACAGATGGAGTCCTGCATCCGAGTCACGTTGCAAATTTCACGACCCAAATGCACCTTGTATTTTCAGAAAGGAAAAAAAAAAAAAAACAAGCTGTGTAATCCCACTTTTACGCACATGGCAGTTGGAACCGTCGCTGTTTTCGGTTTGGAATTCGAGTTTTACGCGCATCACCGCGGCGTCCTCGCCTTGACGACCGGCCTGCATCAGTTTATTTTTAAACGTGCCACACACACACACACACACACACACACACGTCCCACGTTCCTGCGGTCAATAATTCATATGTTTCGGCGATACAGCAGCTGAGAGTCTGAGAGCAAACTGAACACAGCTCGTCATGCAGAGGAACGCGCAGGGTGCAAATGTGCGCCCGAAAAAGGCGAGGCAGCAGAATCCACGACGGGGGCACGGGAACAGCCAGCAGGACACACTCATGAGGTGAGCTGATCCATCTAGATACCTGTTTCCCTTTATGTACAGCTGGTCTGGCTGCTCTGCAAAACCCCCCTTTTCAAATTTCACATCATTTTAATGCACTTGTTTCTTCTGTGACTCACAACATGTGAGATCAGCTGTTTATCCTTATTAATACAACATGTTTAACCTAACTGTTTATTTTCTATTTCTTTTCAAATCCTGTGCATGACTCTTTCTATTTTGCCTGTGTGTTGCTCTGTTACATTTGCCTTCATGTGCAGGAGGCCCAATGGACCTCTGGTACCTCCGCCACAGGCCCCCATGACCACAGAGTACCAGGAGAGGTTCCTCCCTCCTTCCTGCTACAGAACCTACATCACCACCTCCAGGGGGAAGGACCCCTACCACCCGCTGAGGGGCACCAACACAGATATCGGCACATTCAGGTATTTTACTTTGTCTGTTGTTAGATGTAAGTTTGCTGGGAAAAGCGAGCAACTGGTAAATGAAATGCAGAAAAGAACCAGATAAGGCTTTTATTTTGAAAGCCTTGAACCTCTTACTTACTTACCTGTGTGACCTAAAGTGCTGTAAGTGATCGACTTCACCCCATAAATGTGTGTTTCAGATCCATCTTCATCGCCCAAAACTCCCGTAGAACCCTCCCACAGCCCCCACAGCCGTCAGAGCCTCCCAAAGACTACAGGAGGAGGTCCAGCAGCGCCACACGGCATCCCGCACGCGCCGTGGCCAACCGGACGCCACCAAAGCACGACTTTGTGACCGTGTACCAAAGTAAGCACCCCGAGGACCAACGCTGTCACTCAGTAAAAACATACGGCACGGGCAGTATTTACAATGGAGTGTTTTTCAGGTGATTTCCAGCCGTGGGTGGTGAACATGCGGCAGCCGCTTAGGTTCAAAGACAACTTCAACATCAAGTACGGAATGCTTGCCTTGGACCATTCTCCTGAAGAGGATGAAAGACCCACAACCACTACTGGTGTCCCGCAGCAGGAAGAAGCAAAACCTGCTAAAAGCACCACCAGCTACAGACGCGATTATGTCTTCCGCCCTGTGCTGCCCAGAGAAGGCAGGGTGATGTTTTCTGCCACACACGGCCAAGTTCTGCCCCCGGAGCCTGCAGCAGCACCCAAAGGTGCTCTTGAAGAATCCAGCGACTTCTTGGACAAATTCCAATCCTGGTCCCTCGAAACCAACTTCTACGGCCAAACCAAAGAGCCCAGTTCACCAGAAGATCACCGGTTCGTCCAGACGATACACAGTTTGCCATCTGTGCAAACCGGCAAGAACAGTGTGGAGCCCGTCCTCGGGACCACCATGGAGGAGGACTTCAGAGCCTGGAGCGCACCGCAGCGCACCAAACAAGAGAGCGGCACAGCAGGACCTTCTCGTAGAACGAATCCCAGCAGCGACGCCGCAAAGAAACTGCAGGTTCCCGTGGAGAACGGAGGAACCCGGACGGTGTGGTCCAGCTGCGTGGACACCGGAGCTGACGGCTGCAGAGTCCGCTGCTCGGTTTCCAGAAGGAACTGACACCTCCATGACCTCAGGCTGCTTCGGCCCCTTGCATCAATAAAAAGCCATAAATAGCAGTGACATTGTGTAAGAGCAGCTATTTTTATACCTCGCTGTGCACATCTGACTCTTATGTAATCTGCAAAGAGGGTTTATGCAGCTTCCTCCAATTACTGAAGGCGTTTCTGAGTCAGCAGAGCATCACCTGGAGTCAGAGGATGCAGACTAGACGTCAAAAAGCACAACTTAAGATAGACGTGACGACAAATACTGTAATCATGAAAGAACGACACTTTATTTAAAAAACAGAAAACAAGAAGGCGTTGGCGAGTCCACGTCTTGATCAGGAGAACTTTTGTGTCGATTATATTTACATCTATACAGAATCTTTTAAAACGGTTAGCAGTTATTTATTTCTTTTAAAACGTTGCCGAATGCGCAGCAGCATTCGACGTTACCTCGACGGGCGGGCGGGGGGGCTCCAGTGCAAACAAAAAAAAACAACATTTGAAACCATTTGTTCGTTCAGTTCTCTTCCAGCGCGAACTGTCCCCTTCAAATAAAGTCTGTTAAAGCTGAGTGGCCGTCACAGGCTGATTTCAGTTAGTCTTCCTGGAAGCGGATGTGCTTGTTGGCCTCCTTGGCTCGGGCGATGATGATTTTTTCGGCTTTGGATATGAGCTGAGGTGTGACAGGAGAATAGAAGTTAGATGGGGCAGCAGAGGTAAACAGTGTGTGAGCGGGTGTGTTAATGTGCCAAAACGACTCCAGGTATTAGTCAGTGTCCAAAAACAGACCAGACTGATGGTAAAATATGCGTCTCAAATCACAAAATCTTGGCTAAGGACTAAACAGAATATTAGATTTTGGTTGTTTATACACACAAAATGGAGTGAAGTATGAATGAGATATTGTTCCACACTGTGACATCAATAGCTATAAATTCTTCTCTAAACTCACCTTTTCTGTACCGCGCTTCTTTTCCCTCGGCCGATTCAGTTTGACCTGCCGATCCACTAGTATCTTCTGCCAGTACCGTTGTTCGTGGTCACCTTGAGAAAGGAAGAACGAGTTTCACTCCGAGCAGCCTTTAGAATCACACTGAAACCCTTTTGACGAGCAGAACTTGAGACAAGCCGCCGCCTGCCGTCCCGTTAAATTATTTTCGTCGTCATCAATTATGGAAACCCGAGTCGCAGCTCGGTCATCCACATCCTCCCCCCGGGTAGACTCACGCAGACGCACGCAATGAAGAATTAAAAACCGCAGATGAGTAATAAAAGTTCCCACCTGAGAGGATCTCCAGTTTCCAGCTGTGCTCCTTCTGCAGCTCTGCCTTGGCGTCGCTCACGGCTTTGGCCTCCTCCGGGCTGTGGAACCGGATGTGACCTTCGGTGTCTCCGTCCAAGATGTCCACGTAGGCCACCGGAGAGATTCTGGACAAGACATCCTGCGAACGCACAGAAACGGAAAAACATTCTATGATTTATCCTTAAAACAAGTCCTGATCCAGTTTTGAGATCTCGGCTGTACTGTACTTTGATGATCTTCCTCTCCGGCAGCGCCTTGCTGTGTGTGAGCTTCACGATGACGCCGCTGGTGAACTGAGGGCCCGGCTTCGTCGCCTTCTCACTCGTGTTGCTTTTATCGACTAAACAAACAGGAAAAAAACAACAACATTATGGCACTAAATAAACAGCTTCAGTCCAACAAATCCTAACACCACTACAAGCTGGTGCATGATGACGACAGGCTGGTCGAGCACCTTGTTGCTTTTAGAACGTGAGTCGATGTTTTTAAGGTAATAAACTGTTGAGACGACACCTTTGACTGTTGAAAGCACACAACATCGGTGGCGTCATCAGTCTGTTCAAGTGGTTCCATTCTTCATTTAGCCACGACAGGAACACAGAGCCACAGTATGCTAACGATATGTGACACAGGTGAGACTGGACGGTACATCAGGAGATATATATATAATGCATGATCATCTACTAATAAACAAATAATTGGGGATTCAACTGCAGCCTCTACATTGTGCTTCCACCCGTCTTAAGTTGAGAAAAGTACACCGTGTCTTCAACCCTGTCTCAATGGATAATTTACTGAGGTCTGTGCTACGCTCGTCTTTAACTGTCTGGTTCGGTTCAGACGTGAGGAGACTGCAACGGACAGTCAGGACTGCTGAGAGGATCATCTGTGCCCCACCGCCCCCCCTCCAGGACCTGTACTCCTCCAGAGTGAGGAAAAATCCTCAGGGACCCCCTTCCACCCAGGTCACCACCTCTTTGACCTGCTACCCTCCAGCCAGCGCTTCAGGTCTCTAAGCACCAGAACATCCCGGCACCGGAGCAGCTTCTCATGAACAGTCAGTAAACCACTACAGGCCCCTGTTGCACTCCTCTGTGCATCACCATGACATGTGCAACTTCAGGTGGAATATTGTATTGTAATGTAAATCGGTTTCCTAATTTATTACTCGGTTTATTTCTCTTCTCATAGTACTTTTGATTTCTATATTTATTCTTGTTATTGTTGCGTATCAGTCTCATTCACCACCAAATCCCTTGTGTGTGCGAGCTCACTTGGCGATAAAAAAGCTTCTGATTCAACAGAAGTCATCACTGTGGAGACGCTCACATGGATCCAGCTGCCGTCTGACGCTGCAGGGATTTAATAAACTCAAAGGAAAAAAAAAACTCCAGCTTGAAGTTCATCGCTTGTGCCTGGTATTCTTTAACACGACAGCAGGCAGTTCACGTTTGCGCCATGTTGACAGTGAACCACGAATGTTACTAGATCACCGCTACGACGTTTAGATGTTGTCAGATTAACAGAAAGGAGAGCAGGTCTGAAAGTCACAGCTTTAATGTCATCGTGACTCTGTGTAAGATGCTAATGTTTAAAACTGGAATGTACCAGCTGTAGGGATTTTTAAGAACGGTTTCAAAAACAAAAACAAGAAAAACATTTTTTGCCAAAGTTTTGTGTTAAATACTTTCTAGGAAAACTGAAAGTACGTCTTCAAGCAAATCAGCTGCCACTTGAGGCCTTTGAAAACTCTCCAAATCTTTTAAACCAGCTGCTTTCAGTTTCACACCTCAAAAGTTTTTTAAGAAACTCCTGCTTGGCCGCCGCTATAGCTCAGCTGGTTGAGCTGGCGACCCGTGTACTGGGGCTGACGCAGCGGTCGTGGGTTTGAATCCAGCCCATGACCATTTGCTGTAGGTTCCTCCCACTTTCCTGTCTCTCTCTCTCTACTGTCCTGTCAAATAACGGCAAAAAAGCTGAAAAAATAACTTTAAAAAAAGGAACTCGTGCTTATCAGCTGGTATAATTAAAGGCGAAAGTTTCCAAACAAGCTGCCATGTTGGTTCCACTGGAGTGAAGCGCTTCTTCAGCTGTTCAAGGTTGAATCCTGAGTTTAATTTCTGTCCAAGCGCACAATGTTGGGAAGTGATGTGTCAAAAAACACTCCTGTGGACATGCAGAAGAGGCACGTGGCTAGTGGCTAGTTTGAAGCTACATTTTATAGCTTTCATGTATTGTGTGTTGGGTTTTCAGCTGATCTTTAGGTGTCGCTCACGTGTTTCAGTTTTAACAGTCAATCCATCATCCATCAATTACTGACATCTGTGGAGGAAAATCTCACCATTTCCATCTTGAGGCTGATCATCCGTCTCCATTCGACTCTTGTGGTCCCTGTGATCCATCTTAATCATGCACTTCTTCAGGGACGACATGCTGCTCTTCTGCAAGGTCAAATACTCCTCTTTCAGATGAAGCCACTGTTTCCTTGTTTTGGACACAAAAACAGGAAGAATGATGTGTGATGGAGTGTGTGGGGTTTTCATTTATTAGTTTATCTGTGTTCATGCACGAGGTGTAAAGCATGCAAGATCTTACTTCGATAGAACGCGCAGTGGAATAACCTCTTCCCCAATTTTGAGTTTCTCTTTGTGCTTCTTTTTTCTCTTCCTCTTTGCTTTCACGGTCGAATCATCTCCGTTTTCTTTCCCCTTCTCAGTATCTCTCTGCGAGTCGCTTTGAGAGGGTGAAACTACGAAGCGAAAAACACGGTTACCACAACAAACCTGTGGTTTTACTGCTGCAAAAACATGTCATCATCCTTCACAGATGTTCAGATCGTGGAGAGAAAAAGCAGAAAGGGAATTAATAAATGACAGTGTGATTACTTACGACTCGTCACTGCAACTTTCTCCTTCCCTCCAGATTCACTCTCGCTGGTTTTCCTTATCTTAGACGGTACGTCACTGTCTGACGCCTCTGCTGTATGCGACCGTCGTCTTTTTTTCTCCGACAGCTTGCCGGGTGCCTTCTGACTGTTGGTGACCTCTGGATCTAAATCCCCGCTAACTGAGCGCTTCCTCTTCTGCTCAGACGGCTCGGCTTCCATCGCCTGCTCTTTGGCTTCTCCTGCAGGCAGCTGCACCGTGGCACCTTCTTTCTTCTTCTTCTTCTTTCGCTTCTTCTTCTCCTCCTCTTCACCTGCAGCACACGAATGCCAGGAAGTCAGGATACATATCAGCTAGTCGGGCATTTGGCATTTCCAGCAGGCCGAGAAAAGTGTCACCGTACCTGGTGGATGGTCAGCCGGTAGAGAAATGTGTTTCCTGCTTTTCGTTTTGGGGAAAATCCCCGGTTTCCTGGGAGCATCCTCAGGAGGGTTGTTCAGCATCTGGTTAAAAGATCAAAATTTCCTTTGAGGTTTCTTTTGGGCAAGAAACAAAAACACTGGATTGATGCAGATTACAACATAGAGCCGAAACCAGAAGTGTACCCACACCGTGTAAACAGACATAAAACCTTTTCTTCTCACTGTTTGACATTTAACGTGACTAAACTTTTCCTGTTTTAGGTCAGTCGGGATTACCAAAATTAGTTCTATTTGCTAAATGCCGGAATAATGAGAGAAAGAATTTTTTTTTACCAATTTCTTCAGTGTCAGAAGTTTACACACATTTCCTGAGTATTTGGTAGCATTGTCTATAAACTGTGTGACTTGGGTCAAATATTCTGAGTTTCCTTCCACAAGCTTCTCACAGTAGTTTGATGAATTCTGGCCCTCCTGAGTCAGGTTTCAGCTCTGCCCACAAATGTTCTCCAGGATTGAGATCAGGGCTTTGTGATGTCCACTCCACAACACTGACTTTGTTGTCCTGATGCCTCTCTGTAACTAATCTGACGCTATGCTGAGGGTCATCGTCCATCTGAAGACCCATTTAAAGCTTTAACTTCCTGGCTGATGTCTGGAGATGTTGCTTCAGTATTTCCACATAATGTTCTTTCCTCATGATGCCATCTATTCTGTGAAGTGCACCAGTCCCTCCACAGCATGATGCTGCCACCCCCGTGCTTCACAGTTGGGATGGTGTTCTCAGGCTGCGAGCTTCCCCCTTTTACCTCCAAATGGTCATTAAGGCCAAACAGTTCAGGTTTAGTTCCATCAGACCACAGGACATATCTCCACTAATGAAGGTCTTTGTCCCTGTGAGCATTTGCAAACTGTAATCTGTCTTTTTTGTTACTTTTGGAGTGACGTCTTCTTCCTCTCTTAGTATCCTTCCAGCCCATGTCGGTACAGGACTGGTTCCACTGTGGATAATGACTCTCTGATACCAGCTTCAGCAGCATCTTCACAAGATCTTTAGCTCTTATTCTGGGGTTGATTCGCACATTTCAACCAAAACACTTCATCTCTAGGACACAGAACCATCTCCTTCCTATGCTGTCTAATGACTGGACATTCCCGTGGTGTTTGTAAATGTGATGTACTTATTAGATGTTATGGGTGTTTCTATACAGCGTATGTAAACTTCTGGTTTTAACTGTACATCAGGCAAGATTTAAGGAAGTCATTACCTCAATGGCTTTCCGCGCTTGTTCTTCTTTCTCGAACTCGACAAAGGCGAAACCTTTGGAGTCGCCAGACGACTTGTATCTGGGGATGCTAACGTAAACCACATTTCCACATTTTGTGAACACTCTTTCAATCCAGCTGTGACTCACATCCTTGGGCAACAGTTCCTTATGAAGAAACAAAAAAAGAAGAAAAAACAGAAATGAGTTGGTTTGTGATGCTAAAAATACAGAAGTTTGGACATAATGTAGAATTCAATATCAGCTGTGATTTTAGGAAAACTGTTTAAAGGAAACAATGTGGATAAATGCAAAATAAATTTCAACGGTGCATTCAGGTACCTCCCAGTCGAAACATTGTTGTGCAAACTTAAAATACAGACACCAGAAAATGTCTTTTACCACATAGACTGTGCGGCTGTCTACATCGACCGGTAGGTCTCCAACTGGGAGCTGACGTCGTACTTTATTTCCCTCGAGGTTAACCTGAAACACAAAGCATACAACACGTTTATGTGATCGTACATTAACTGGAGCTTAGTTTTCAGCCATTTTTGACTTCACAAACTATGCAGCAAAACAAAAATTACCTCGACTACGGATGAGTTTTTCAGAGCTCTGGCGATCAGCTTCGTGTCAGTTGTCAGCTTCTTCATTCGATTGAAGCTCGCCAACACGGATATATCAACGTCTACAACAAACAACAACAGCAGTACAACGTCAATGACAAAATCCAACATCTTTAAGTCAAAGCCTGCATTTAAACATTCAATGACAGACATAAATGTGCATTTCAAGTCCTGCTAAAGCCTTACATCCATCGTCTGACTCATCGATGAGCTTCTTCAGAAAGCGGTCCTTGTGCAGGTTGACATCTCCGAACCAGAATTCAACTTGCTTCTTCACATCGCCGAGCAGCTGTTTGACTCGTGACCTCTTCTTCTTCTCTATCTCCTTGTTTTTACTGCTGGACTGAGCAGCACCAGCATCACCAGCTCCCCTCTCTGTGGTCATCATGCTGGGGAAGAGGCTGCAGCACAGATCAGCAGCACACTGTTATAAAACAACACTGACAGCACAGCAAGCTTCATACTTTCCTCTATCGTTCTATTTATTTAAAAGTCACGAGGTATTTCAGTTGATAATTTGTTAATGAGCAATAATGAAAAGTACAGGATGTTAGTACGCCTGATAAAACAAAAAGAGAATTAAGAGTCCGTGGAGCTCAGTACACACACAACAAGAGGGGAAGGTGAGAATTTATGGTCTCGCTGTGCAATATAATCCTAAAACAGAACCTGATTAAAACCCCAAAGTGTTTTATGATTCACAGGAAATCTACCCTTTTGGTTTTAATTACATTTTTGTATTTGTTTTTGACTTGCTCCTAAAACCATTATTACACCGCCTGGGCTGGAGCACACCACAGGATAAGAAACTGAATGCGAGATTACTGAATCCATGCTCCACATCTCAGTGGAAAAAAAAAAAAAAAAGTATTCTTGACATAATTTGTTTTTATGAGAAGCATAATGGAACCACATCTGTCATTTTGTTCAACAAGCTTGTGATGCATGATGTTAACTAACTGAATCTTGAGTCTTAAATAAGAAACCTACATCCAAGCAACGTATACAAAATGGAGCAACTATCTCAATAGGCCTTTTGAGTGTTCAGTCTGCATTTTTATTCCTGACTCTTTCTGCAGCAGCTGTGTTGCTTTTATTGCCCGTATTATATTTAAAATTTCTGATATTGATGTAGTCAAGTCACCACTATTTATATAGCACAGGTATTTATTTAAAGCAACAGCCAAAGTGCTTTTCAGTAAAAAGGTGAGATCAGTGTCACGAATGAGGCCAACAAGTGTAAATATGGAGGTTAAAACATTAAAGCGTAATGATGTGAATACACCTGAGTAGCTTCAAGGATTAAAACCCAACAAAAATATATAAAACACAGCTTCACTTGACTATTTTAAATAATAAGGCTCAAACCCTACAGCATTACTATCAAGTCAGCTCCAATTAATAAATTAATGCATGCTAAATCAGAAAAACAAAAAACTAAAATGAGAGCATGCTAATTGAGGATCAAGGGGATTTTTTTTAAAATTGAATTTTCTGTATACTTTTGGAGGGTCATAACTTTAGATCATAATTAGTCAGTTAGTCCCACTAATTATAATGTTGAATGGTCTTAGACTTGATATGTATTTCAGTCAAGCATTTTCTGTGATTTTTTTGTATGATTTTAATTCTTTATATGCAGGCTGCCAACGAAGATGATGGAGCACTTCTACACCTCCATCATCGAGTCCATCCTCACCTTCTCCATCACTATGTGGTACGCTGCAGCGACGGCCAAAGACAAGGCCAGACTGCAGCGTATCATCCGCTCAGCCGAGAAGGTGGTGATTGGCTGCTATCTGCCTTCTCTCCTGGACCTGCACGCCTCCAGGACTCTGAGGCGTGCAGGTAAGATTGTGGCCGACCCCTCCCACCCTGGACACAAACTCTTTCAAACACTCCTTCGTCAGGACCAGAACCTCCCGCCACAAGAACAGCTTCTTTCTGTCTGCCACTGGCCTCATGAACAGGGTACAGGACCCCCACTGACCCCTCCTGCCCCCTCTATGGACTGTATACGTGACATTAACGTGTTACTTCTCTCTTTGCTCATCATCTCATCATCTGCACTGTTATTGGTTATGTTGCATCTCCACACCTTCAATTTGCACTCTATTGACAATCTATATAAATGTAAAAATCAGTCTATCTGCACCTTGAACATTCTTGTAAATAATACTACAATTTTATGGTTCCTATTTAAATTTAACTTTAATTCTTCACTCCACAACATTTTTTCCTTCTGCTTTGCACTATTACAGTTACTTTTATTTTCTTTTAGCTATGTTTTATTTGTTTATCTTGTACATTGTGCCTTTCTCTATATTTATTGTTGCACCAAGCCACCAGAACAAATTCCTCGTGTTGTGTAATCTATACCTGGCAATACATCTGATTCTGACAACTTAGGTAAATTCACACCATAAATAACAACACCATAAGCCCAAGATTAAAACTTATTAGGTCAAGATGTAACGCCAGTCATAGATGTTTTAACTGGAAAGCGTTATGCGGGCTGTTATTGCTAGATTCTAACCTTTATTTCTAATGTTAAATTGTAAATATACGTGCTGTTTGCACTGCAGAACTTCTATCTTGAGTTTATACAAATAGTGAACACGCCCCCTTAATATACCATCACCAATCTCGTAATTACATTTCGTAAAAACACAGTTAGTTTCATATTTAGCACTAACTAGTTGTGTTAAATCCTCTGCTACCTCGCTAATTGTTTGTTAGCCATCACAGCCTTCCAGGTACTAGTTGGGAATTCGCGGGTAGTGACATTTTCAAAATCCTGCACTCTCTATTTTCAAACCCGCCAAACCTTCACTTAGCATTCAGGGAACGTAATGTTTCACAGAACTCACCCTCTTTGAGATGAAAAAATACTCCAGTCCGACGCTGCATTCGCAAAAACAACATAAAACAGCAGCTAGCGTGCTAACTTCGTACAAACGGCATTCCCTCGTTCGGTGTCGCACAGCAAACACGTCATAAGAGCGCGCAGTTTACACAACGTCCGGTTAATTATTCTAAATGAAGAAGAAGAAAAAACACGCAGTATACATTTGTTTTTTTTACATTTTAATAACAAAAAATAACATTTGAGCCACATATAACAAATACAGTCACATTTTGTCTAAAAAATAAAATAAAATAAAAACGGCGTTGCACATATGACAACGGAAAACATTGTCTGTCACAAGACTGGGTTGCAATGCAATACACAAGAAAAATTAAAACTACCAATACAGATACATAAATAAAGTCTTTCAATGCCAATTGGTAAGGGCTCGTAATACAACGGATGCTGTAAAAGTACTAGCTTTCGCTCACAGGAGCAGCATGGCCGGTTAGCTCAGTTGGTTAGAGCGTGGTGCTAATAACGCCAAGGTCGCGGGTTCGATCCCCGTACGGGCCAACTAGCTTTTGTCATTTACTCAATGCTGCTTGGATCTGACGTTTTGATTTGTGGAGTTGGCTGGTGCAGCATTTCATGGTGCTCAGACACAATATACCCTCTCCACTGTAGCATTTAAATTTCATGAGATCTATCAAAAAAATGGTACAAAATGCGTCAAAGCAAGCTTATCAGACGGTACCTGACATGGTTGGAGGATTCACAGGCACCTTGAAACACTGTAAAGCAGTGGTTTTAAAACTTTTACTGGCACGAAACTCTTAAAATGTGGAAGCAGATTCACAACAAGGGAAGCAACTAATAAAAAAAAAAGATCTGAATTTTGGTGAAGCCAGTTTCATCTTCGTCACAGGTTCAAAATGTGGTCAAACTTTCTGAGCTTCTTGCACATGTCGTCCTCGGTGCAGCACTCGATCCTGCTCTTGATGAGCTGTGCCAGCTGGTTGTAGAAGGTCTTGGCCCAGCGGGCTTCCAAGCAGGAGGCCGATACGTTGCACACTTTGTGGAGCACCGTCACCAGCTTCTCATTGCTGCTGACTTCACACCGTCTGAACACCCACTGACCCCACGCGTCCCACATGTCATCATCTGAGAAATTCACCGTTATGCTCTCTCGGGTGCGTACTTCCTCTGGCTCTGCGTCTTCCAGGTCATTCCAAATGGCTCTGTAAGACGAGGAAAAGAACTTCACAATAACATAATTTGTTGACACGCTGATGGTTTTAAAACGACAGTCAGTCACTCACACAACTTTTTGTAGAGGCTCTGGAGTCAAGTCGCTGAACGACAGCAGACCTCTGTAGCTCACTCGGTTGCCCTCCATCCTGTGAGAGCACATGAGCAATTTTACAGTGACTAAATCAGAAAACCATCAAGCTGAGCATGAGATTGGGTGTAAATGTCACCGTTTTCTGCTCATCTGCTTTTATTAGAGTCCCAATTCAGTGAATCACAGTCATCCTCAACATGAAAAGACTTTCATTTCTCTCAAAATACATTCTATCACATGCCAATCACAAGTCTGTTACCACAGTTCTTGAAGGGTTTTTTTCACCCGTATGGCACTACTAAGAGTCAGAATTTCATCATCACCAATGTTTGCCCATCCAAGCCTGAAAAGGGAACAGAAAGCAACACACACCATGTGGATTAGTCCAAATAAAGAATGCTTGTCATGAGTATATACATATTCTTATGTCTTTCTGTAAAAACTGCTGTCATCTTACCCGAGGTGGGTGATGCTTTCTGACACTCGCAGCACATCAGCAATGACCTGCACGGATTCCATGTCAAGGTTGTTTTCTCCAAGCCTTCAAAATAAAATCGTTTTGACAATACTTTGACACGATAAAGCAATCAATACTGAGTGACATCAATGGAACTGCAACGGTTGAAACACAATATAAGAGTAACTCAAACCTGGTAATAGATAGACGGCTTCACATTTCGTTTCATTAAAAATCAATCAGTGCCTCCCATCTGACACCCTCACAGTCAGCTGCTGTTTTTGTGAAGTAACTTTAGTATGTTTCATAAAGTTTTGTAAAATTTTACAGGCCCTCAAAGTGAATGCCGGTGGACTGAAATGTGCTTTAAAATTCCCATCGTTCTATATTTGATCTCTTTAAAAAAAAATGCTACCAAATTAGTTTAAATCAGTTGTCACAATCTAAAGACTAAATCTTGCTTTTGCTCTTCCACGAAAATGATTTGTACAGGAATGATCATGGTTTTAATTCCTCGGGTAAACAAAATCTGAAATTCTACATTTTGCAAGTGTTAAAATGTATTAGAAAAATAAATCTGCCACAAAAAACTCTGGCTGGAAGATGAGCCTGGTTTCAACATGTAGGTAAATATGAGACCTTCCACCTGCTACAGCCTGTTTTGACCAACCACCTATCCCACATGGTGATATGGCCTTGAAACTTTACCCAAAATGCACTTTTTTAAATTAAAAGTTGACTCTAGTGAATTCTAACAGACACACATGATGAAGACATCCAGGGTTGGTGAATCTATGATACATCCCATGATAGTGATGTTCAAAAGTGCTTATCAAAAAAAAAAATCTAGATTTCGGCTTTAGATTGTGACACCTGGAGTGGATCAAAAATGAATTGGTTGCAGTTTGTAACTGAACTTCCAGGTGTTTTTCAGCCCTGAAAATTTCATGTTTCTATCTCTTTTATATATGAAGTTATGGAGGCTCGAAAATGCTAGAAAAAGTAACACAAATTAAAATGCTTGATGCCGTAATTTTAAAAATATCCATTGTGTGATGGTAAAATGTTGCATGGCTTCATTAAATATACTGAAATCATTGTACCTATAAAATCTGCAGATTCTGAGGATTTGGCTTACAATATATATGGAATAACTCCATTATAATTTACCTGGAACTCACCAAAGATCCACACATCTGAGCAGCAGTGGTTGAATATCTCTTAATGCGTCGCTGCTCACTCCAGTCCCTGTAAGATCCAGCTCTGATATTTTACCTTTTGTGAGGTTTAGGAAGTACTTGATGGCATTGTAGTCCATCTGAGAGAGCGTTTCATCGCTAACGTTGACTCGCAGCGCTGTCGGTTGCACGGCGAGAGCCAACGAGGGGTCTTGCTGCTCAAACAGACAGTGCAAGCAGTTCAGGATGTGAGCTCCATTCTCACACAGCATCTTAAGCTCTGTGGTGATTTTCTCACGATAGGTTTCCACTTTCTGTTTGCTGCAACACAACCCCACCTGTCTGGATAGAAAACTGGCATTACGCTCGGAGAGGATTCCGGAGAGGAAGCGGTTGAAAAGGTCCAAGTGTCCGTTGGTTGTTCCCTCTCCAGGAAGTCCTGAGCTCTGAAGTGCATCAGGTAAAGTCTGATCTGTCACTGCGCAGTGAAGAGCAGCAAAGAACTCCTGAACAGTAAGATGAGCGAAGGAAAAAACCTCCTCAGTGCAGCCGGGTTCTTGTGCAACAGTCTTATCCAGGAAGGTACTGACGAGGCTGCTTCCTGCCAACGCTGCAACATCTTGGTCGCTGCTGTAGAACAACGTTTGATGCTCCATTAGCTTTTGGAAGGCGAGTCGGCCCAGCTTCAGCACAATATCAGATAGCTGCTGGACGCTTCCCGCCTTTTGGTCTTGAGGAAAAGTTTCAGTTCTTGTTTGGGTGTGAGATCGAAGCAAAGCCACCAGATACTGCACGTAAATATCCGTCATGGTCTTCGGGGCTTCTCCGCAGAGATCTTTGCTTTCTTTGAGGATGCAGCACACGATGTAGCAAAATGCAGGTATGTAGCACAGTGTCAGCATGAGCTCGTTTGCTGAGACCACTGCGAACATGCGGTCGGCAAGCGAGCTGTCTTGGAAATAACGTAAGAAGAAGTCTTGAACTTCGGCCAAGGAGAAGCCAGAGATGAGGACGAAGCGGTCGATGCAGCCAACAGGGATGTGGTTGATGGCCGCAGGTCGACTTGTGAGCATGACAGAGGCGTTGGGTAGCAGCTCACCGAGCATCAAACTACCAAAAACCTCCGTCACCTCTGCTTCTTCATCTGGCTCAGTCACAAATACATCAACATCGCAGCTCCTGTAGTGTTTGAACTCATCAAAGCCGTCCAGGATGATGAGCAGTTTGCTGTCATTATCTAAGATGTTATCCAGTTCTTTAGCAAGGTGTCTGTTTTTACGCAACACCAGCTCCCTGAAACTTGTCAGCTTATCAATCAGATTCAAGTCTCTGAAGGTCATGTGGATGATAAAGTCAAATGTAAGATGATCCTTATTTCGGCCAAAGTCAAACAACATCTTCTGCACAAGGATGGTTTTTCCGATTCCGGCCACCCCTGTCACCAGAACTTTCTTAACCGGACGGACTCCGTTTGAACTTGAGAACAGTTCGGCTGGTGTGATTTTCCTGTGCGCCGCTGACTTCTGTTGCAGAGATAGTCGCTTCTGTCCGAAGGTCAGCACCTCGTGTCTTTTAATCTCTAAGCCTTGATGTCCGTCGACTAACAGGAGGTTGACATAATGCTCGGAGAAAAGTATTTTCTCTCCGTGTCGGGTGTTGTAGAAAAGCATGCTCTCACTCCTGCGCCTGAGGACGTCTTTGTGCTTCTGTTTGACTTTGTTGTACTCTGCAGAAGAAAAGAAGTGTTGGATGATTTGTCTTCTTTTCAATGCTTGTAACCAACGTACTACAAGACTCACTTTAAGAGCTGGATTTTGGGGTTGATGACAATTTTTACGTGTAAATTAGCCAATATTGTTGATGTATACAGAATAAAAGTTAAAGTTGTACTCAAAAAGGAACATGATAGGGTCATGGTTTATTAACTTTCCAGCAGTGTATTCCACAAACTTGTTAGCAACTTAACATGAAGACACCGTTTGACTCAGCACCATCATTTGCTCTGCTACATGTGCTGCAGCCATATAAATAATGCAGTCGGAGCCAGTCTGCTGTACAATCTGCATCACTGAGCCATTTCTAAATTACTGCAAGGATCTTTTTAATGTTCTGTAAAAAGTTTCGATATCAGGAAATATGAAAAACATATAGGCCAATACCAATATATGTAGACATCGGCCAATTGTTGGTATGCAGTTTGCAATTCTATTTCAAGTGTTAAACTTAAAGGATGACTGTTAAATTATCCAGAATGCACCAATAACATGTCTATGGTTTCGATTGCATACCTTTGAACTGAGGCTGATCTGCGTTCCCCTCTTTGGAGTTCTGACGATGATTTCTAGCAGACAGAAAAATCTCAGCCGCTTCCTCGCCTTTACACTCCACTATATCCAACACCGTCCGTACTCTCGCCCGAGGCCCCAGCTGGCACAACACGACCTCCCGATCGTCTCGACTGAACGCTCCCCGACTCACTAAGACCTCCAGCAGGGAGTCGATGTGTCCTTCCAGTTCATCCACAAGGGAAACCCTCAGCACCCTCACTGCTGTCAAACAGGGGTTACAAAAATCCGTCTCCACCATAACTGATCAGAAAATAATCCTCAGTAGAAAAGCAATAAAGGTGAGGTACAAGCAGCTCATGTTGCTAGCTGGAGTTGCACCATCTAGATTGAGGCTCTTTGTGTAATCTGGGGGAACCTTGTGAATGCATGTCTCTCTTCTAGAGCTGAGTATGTGTGGGAGTAGAGAAACACAGAAAGAGGAAGTGCTCATCTCTTTTTAGTAAGCATGTGGAGACAGCTGTGCCTGTGTTGATAAGCTTGTTCTTCTGGTTTGCCATCCAACCTCCCTTGGCACCTATTGCGTTGTAATAATCTGACGCAGTGGAGCACTTTGACTTGCTGTCAGAGTTTTATTTAAGAAAAAAAAAAAGAAAGAAAGAAAGAATCACAGAGAGTCACGACAACCAGATTATAAAAAGGAATGTATTTGGTTTTATTTAGTGAGAAACCGGGCATGAGCAAAGAGCAACACATCAAGTCACCAGCAGAGGGTCCCCATTGCATGCACATCCAAAACCATCAGCTGCAGGGAAGCGCAACAACCCCAAACCTGACATTATTTACAAAAAAAAAAACACAAGAACACAAGAAAATAAATAGTTAAAACGACAAAACAAATATCTACATAACTTAAGAGCATACGTAATGTGATATTTTTCCTCTGGTGATCTCAGATAAACACACCTCGACGAAAGGCCAAGTAGTCTCCAGAAACAGGTTGTGAAGCCCAGGACGTAATGTCAAAAGTGCAGTAATGACTGTACCCGGCATTGGTACGTTACTAATGACCTTTATGAAGCTCCCTACTGGTTGATCTGTCACTAAAATATGTTCTCGAAGGTGAACGCTGCTTTTTTTCCCCACTTAAAAGTCAGTCTAATGAAAAAATAATATAATTTATTGGACGGTTTGAGCTGGGTTTTAATCAGATCTGTTCATGTTTAAACGCCACAAAGTGGTTAAAGGGACATTTTGACGAAGATCTTCTCAAGAAATATCACAAAAACAACATCTAAACTATGGAACATTACAAACTAGATTTAAAAACAACAACAACAAAAAACTCTGCAAGCCATGTTCTGAACAAAGACTTGGATGAGTTCTGAGTGCAAAATAAGTGTCTTTTTTTCTTTTTTTTTTCTTTTTACAAAACATTATTTGCTTCAGTCATACACCTCCTATAGTGCAACCCATGCAAGAGAAATCGATATAGTGTCCGACGTCGTATTCTGCCAGAAACTGTGCTTTAAACACCTGCGGTCCTAATTCCTTTCTGCTTTAAACGACCGGTCACTGCGGTCGACACATACTCAGCACAGACCATAATTTATTTCCCAGGTGGCTGATACCGTTTATAAAACATTAGGCTTTTAGTCATGTTAGCTATTTCCCGTTTCTAAGCAGCATCATGCCCACTGTGTTAATAAAAGCTCGTTTAGCATCAAAACTATTTAACAATGCTGCTCGGAGACAACTGCAGTAAAGACAAACACACAACTATCCAGTGGTTATCACAAGCTCCGGGGGAGTTTTACCCAGAATTCCAGGGTAGGAAGTCAATCAATTTTTTTTTAAACATGTCTAATTGTAATTACATTTCATGTCAAGTTTCATGTGAAATTTCTTGGTAGCGAGCATTGTTTGTAGGGAAAACCCTGAAACTACACAAGACTCCGGGTCGATGGTCAGTTTTTACATGCCTTGAGTTCCCCTTTGTGAAACCATGCGGTAACCACAGGCCTCTGCTGCTCACAGTGGAAATGTCTCTTAGGTTTCACAATTTGAAAAAGAAAAGCTGCTGTCACGGACTTCAGAAAGTAAAAGTACAAGTAAAAACTGAAGCCCCCCGTTAACAGACATGTCTCGATGCTTTCAAATTCAAACCCACGCGTGGCGTCGTTGAGGGAGAGAGAAACCAAACGTTCCCCCCGCGCTCGTTTGTCCCCGTCCGCGACTGATCGGTGAAGTTAGGACGGGTTGTAGAGGTTACAAGTCTCCGCTGGCACCTTCCCTGACCTCTCCAGGTTTTCCGCGGCCCCCCGTGTCGCTCCGCTGCTTCAGGTGTTTCTGCACGAGTAGCAGCAGCGGCTCTTGAACTGAGGCAGCGGGCAGAGCTCCAGCTGCCGGACCTTCTCGCAGTACCTCGTGCTGTCTCGACACTCTCCTGCTGGAATAGACAGGAGATGCAGTTTACTACACGAGCGTCTATCCTCAAGATAAAGCAGCAAGAGTATAGTCTTGTAGCCATGAAGCTACTTTCAGCTTCATGCTTTGTATTTCAAGCTTCAAATGACCAACTTCTGCCTCCAAGAACCATAGAGGTGACATCAGTAAGTCTTCCAAGAAACAAAGGAGCATCTTCGTCATGGACAGACTCCTTATTCACTCTTTGTTCTCACACTGAGGCCTGCGGGTTATTCACCCAGCACATTGTTTCTGGAAATACGTGATGCTGCAGAGATTTTTCAGAAAATTTTTTCTCGCTGGTTTTGTAATGGAGTACCGGCAGACGTGTTAGACACGGACACTTCCAAACCTCATCGCATGAAACCAAAACTATGCCCATTACGAGAAGAGCCCAAGTGCAAAAAACCACCAGACTGGCTTTCCATGCTTGATTTTCTTTAAGTTCAAATCTAAGGTAGTATGTTATTAGTTCGCTTATAGAAGGAGCTCAGAAATACGGCAATAATGCAGGTTATTGAACCTCTAAAATGGGCTCATTCCAAATAAAATCAAAACATGCTTCCACCTGACCCCCTCTAAATAAGCTAAGTTTTCATGTACAATAACTTCAACACATTTAATGAAGCCATGCAAATATTTAACCTTCATGTTGTGTATATTTTCAAAGCTACAGGCACTTGAACTCTGTAAAGGTGGGTCAATATCATGTGCTTTTTAATTCACAATTTCCAGCATTTTTCAGCCCTCAAAACTTCAACACGCGAAATTTTCAGGAATAAAAAACACATATGAGTTCTTATTAAAAATTGCAACCAAATATATTTTACATCCAATCCAGGAGTCACAATCTCAAGACAAAATTGAATTTTTGTAGGCAACTTTAATCAACAGTATCATGGGATGCATCTTAGTTTAAACAGCAGAACTTCACCAGTTCATTGTCTATAATATAGAGCCATAGGAACATGCACTGGTACCCTGGATGTGTTTCTGTTTTCTGATAATTCACTGGAGAAAAGTGGGTAAAGTTTAAAGGGTCATATCAGCATGTTAGGCAGGTGGTTGGTTAAAACAGGTTGCAGCAAATGAAAGGACTCATTTTTACCTACATTTTGTGAACCTCTAACCATGATTCCTTCTGTGTCAAAACGTTTTTTCTAATGCAGTCATATTTTATTTTATTTTGTGTATTGAGCTTATGGCTGTGAAATGGAAAACTCGTAGTATGAAGGTAAAATTGTGCATGGCCTCATTAAATATACTCAAGTTATTGTATAAAAAAAATAATCAGAATCTGCCCCAAATTCTGCCAAAATGCTGATTTTGCACATTAATAGCTCAACATATGTGATCACACAGTACTGAATGTGCTATAAAATATATATTATATTTTGGATCATTTATAAGTAAATTTTTTTTGTCCCTCTTGTTTTTTCTCACCTCTGCCGCAGGACAAAATATTGCATCGCTGCCAGCTGGGCGGCCGAGGCCTCCACATGCAGTGATGTTCCCTCGTGGCCTTGCCCGTCCGCAGGTGCGTGCAGGTGACCTGACGCGACTGGAAGCCATGACGTCCACAGGTGGCCGTGCACTGTGTCCACGGGCCGACACGCCACTGGAGAGTGCACGCCTCAGTGGAGCAGTTCTTCACCGAGCTTGGCCTGAGAACACAAAACACTGCTGAAGTACTTTTTTACTGAAACATGAGACATTGCTGCTGCACATCAACAGTATAAATCTCCACAACTAGAAATTCATAGCTGGATTTCTGTTTACCTCTGGAGCCCGCTGCACATCCTGTACTGGACTTTGGTGCCGTTTGTGTCTTGGCAGTAAACATGGCGATGCTGTGTGGCCACACTGGGACCAACACACTGACCATGGCACTAAAGGAGGAGGTTTCATCAAAATTACAAACAAGTTCAGCTTTAAGTATGACATCTTGTCTTGCTAGTGTCTGCTGTTTTGTTGCTTTGGCATTTTTAAGCCTAACTACTCTCATCAGACTTCAATTTTTAAATCTAAAAAGCATTTAATTCATTTTAAAAAAAGGTGGCTAGATTTTTGCCAACAGTTTAATGGGCAAAGTGTCCATCTTGGGGAACGATGTGATAGAACAGAAAATATGACATCAACAAATATGAGATGAGATGGGATGAGATGAGATGAGAAGAAGAAAGGTGACGTCAACAAATGTGACATGAGATGAGATTAGATGGGATGACATAAGAAAAATGGTGACATCAACAAAAAAGAGATAAGATCAGAAAAGAAGAACAAATGAGATAAAATGAGATGAGAAGAAGAAAAAAAGGTGACATCATCAAATCTGACATGAGCTGAGAGGAAATAGGATGAGATGAGATAAGAAGAATAAATGTGATGTCAACAAATCTGACATGAGATGAGATGTGATGAGATAAGACAAGAAGAAAAAAGGTGAAGTAAACAAATACGAGATGAGATAAGATAAGAAAAGGTGACATCAACAAATATGAGATGAGATGAGACATGATAAGGTCATCAGTAGAAAAATAAAATAAACAGGAAATATATGTAACTATCATGAATATTGTACAGATTCTTCTATATGTAAAAATTCCAATATCGCATCGCTGCCTTTGAATATAGAAAGTATTTCTCTGCTTATAGATAATGAAGCATGTGTACCTGTTGTGACAAGTGTCTGCTCAGTAATTAGCGGACTCACCAGCCCCCAGGAGGTCGTGGCCCATCTGCTGCAGGGCAGCAGGTTGCACATCCTGGTATCGGAGGGTCTCCTTCCTGTTCCTAGGCACTGCCTGTTCTCTGCCTGTCTTGATCTGACCTGAGGACCCTTCATGCAGCGGACGCTCCTCGTCTGGGTTCCACCTCCGCAGGTGGCCGAGCACGGCGACCAAGCATCCACCCGCCACCTGATCATCCAACCACAGCAGAGTTCAGCTACAACCCTGGACACTTGTTTGTTTGTTGATTTGGCCAAAAAAGTCCTTAAATACGCTGTGAGTAGCTCAAACATGCAGTAGCAGCTGCTTACCTGAGGGGGCAGGCTTGTCCTTGGCACAGCTCAACCGACTGGCTGCTGTTACTCCTCTCAGAACAAGCAGAACCAGTTGTTCCAACGACGTTACCTTGAACGCAACTTCTTCCTTTGGCACCTGAGAATACAATAAACCACATAATGTAGGGTTTCAGATACTTTAAAAAGCAAGGAAAATATGTTCATGTATTTGAATTTGAAAGAAAACTGTATTTTCACACCATTCACTGAAGACATTAATGAACATTTACACCTTTTTAATAGCTGCAGATCTCAGTTTTAACTAAATGTAGCAGAAGAAAAAGGATGAACGGCTGATAAATACTATCAAATATTACTGTATGTATCCAGCAGCTTCAAACTTCCTTCTTTTACCTCAGTGAGATGGTCATGTCTCTATTTTTTATTGCTAAAACGGTTGATCTCGTTCACTGTAAGACTACGCTTTCCAAGAATAAACTCTATTTCCATTTCATTTCCCCCTAAAGCTACTGAGAGTACTTGGGATTGCATTCTTTTTTCCCCTACCACTCCACTCTATCCATAAAATGCCTAAAAGTACACCCATTACATTGCCTTTAACTGAATTTGAATTAAAAATATGAGAAAATACAGCTGGGGCATTTTTCAGCACTTTTAAGCCTCTTTATCCTTTCCATTTAGATTAGCTGAACGGGCTACGTCGAGTTAATCTCCTTTGAAACACTGCCTGGAACCTCTAATTGTTGCCGTATGGGGAGGAAAAGTGCCGTAGAATCGGGAAACCCACAGTGGCGGCGCTTTGATGAGAACGCAGCAATTTTGTGACTGATCATGCTTCGACAAGACGAAGGACAGCGCAGCTCGGAGATGACCCGAGCTGTGATATGCCCCCGGACATTCCCCATCACTGACGCAGCCAGATGAGCCGCTAGGGTAGGTAAAAGCTCCGCTGTATATATCTGTGCCTGTGGTTGCTCTTGTGTCTGAGTGTTACGCGGCTGAATGAACGCTTTCCCAGAATCTCTCAGCCCGAACCACGAAAGAACAACACAAATTACTGCAAACTGGACTACGTAAAACTACACCGGGACAAACTCAACTTGACATTAGGTCAATACTTGCTTAATCATTTGTAGGTAAAGCTACAAAAACTGTTTTCAATATCGGCAAAACTTCTCCAATGCATTTAAAGTGAGCTTTAAAAGATTCTAGAAAGCCGACTTTTAGTTTTTCCAAACTTAAGGCCATGCTAAGCTAACAGTCGTCTGGCTCGAGCTACATCACAAACAGAAGAGCGGTGTTTATCTTTTCAATAAATATTTCCCTAACTACTGAACTTCAGTATTTAGACCCAAGCTGCTATTTCTTTACTTACCTGTAATCTGCAGCCAAGATGAAAGAGATGCACTTCCGAGTCGGCTCCTGGCAGTGCAGGTGTAAAAACCCTCGTCGCCTTTCCCTGGAGACTGGATCCTCAGCGAGCCAGAGGGCAACAGGCCGACTCTGCCAAAGACAAAATAACCACAGTCAGCTACGAAATTTGCCCCCAAAAAATCCCCTTTGAAGGTTAGTTCTTACCTGCTATTGTAGTGCAACTCTTTTCCATTCTTGGTCCACGTTATGGATGGTTCAGGGTTCCCCAGCGCTTCACACCTCAGCACCAAGGTGGCAACTGGTTTCTGCAGCAAAATCGGCATCCCCACATAAACCACGATTTCAGATAGTGGTGCCACTCCAACCTTCTTGGACCGTTGGATTATCACCGGGTTCCTCGCTCTGGACGTGTGGGCTTTGATGGTTGGTTTATACAGGAGTGGTCCTTGGGTGGAAGATTCCGCACTTTCCGGAGGGTGAAGAGTAGATTCGTTGGTTTCGCCCTGTGTCGTGGTGAGCTCGCTGAGCAACTGAGCGATGAGTTGTTCCCCTCGAGGTCCTCCGAGGCCTTCAGAGAGGTTGTGCATGATCTCGTCCAGCCTGTGGGTATCAGCAATGAGCACAACTGGGATGGAAAGTTCTGAGCTCGCTTTCTCATCCTCGAGATTTGACTTGTTCTTCTCACTCGAGTGTGGTTTGTCAGCAAGGTATTTTTCATCTTGGACAGAGCCCTTGAGTTCAAGCAAATGCTCAACAATGTTGTCGTATTTGTTAAGGGAGATGGGTAGCTCCTGCAATCTTTCTCTAGTTGAGGTCACATCTTGCCTTCCAACCTTTTGTTGTCCACTTTCAAGAAGCCACGACTCCGGAACAGACAGTTTTTGCTTGCTGCCAATGATCTGTAGAACAAAATGTTCTCGTGCCTGGCCTGCGATGCATGTGTATATCCCGGCATCAGATGCACGAACCTGCTGGATCTTCACGTATCCCAGTGATGTTATGGAGAGGTGTGGGAGGTTGAACAGGGTCTTTCCTTCCTTTAACCATCGGACGTGACCTTTTCGGAAATTTCGTGTCGGGCAGCGAAGGACCACAGTTGTCCAGGGCAGGAGGTAGGCATAACCTCCAACAACCAACTGTATCTTCTTGCCTTTCCTCCACTGGATATAAACCTTATTTTGTGCCAGGATAGTGGGATCAGGCTTGATGGGGTCTGTAATTAAATTAGAAGACAGATTAATGGCTTGATTATTGACTCTACTAACTACACTTCGGGGCACATGTGATATGCAAGAGCTTCACATAACTTTCTTCTTGCTTGCATCTTTCCTTCATTATCCAAAGTCTGATCAGTAAAATTTACATTAAACAGAAGCAAAAAGAGAATCTCTTACTTTCACAATGCTTGAGGGAGCATGGCCGGACTCTGATGGGTTTGGCTGTCAAGGAGCAGTTCTTCGGGTCTACAGTCAAATATCGTCCATTCTCCCCTTGTTTCCTGCAGATGGCCTGCATCGTCTGAATGCCGTTTCCACAGGTCACCGAACACTAAACAAATGAATATACATGATGTGAAAATGAGCAAAACCTGTACAGTATTATTTTTAGATAATTTGAACAACTAAAAATAAGCAAGAAGTCCTCTGGTGGAAACAAAGGCTACCTGGGACCAGTCATTTGTGACCCACTGAGGTGGACAGTCCTGTTTGCTGCAGGACTGCTGATTTGTGGGGCTCTTGGATGGACAAAAGGTCTCAGGCATCTCCAGGATGCTGCCATCCGCCAGCCGCTGTTTGCACAGTACCTGCCTCCTCTGAACCCCACCACCACAGCTCTGAGAGCACTGTAGACACGAAAATACAGACAGTGTTGGGGTTTTATCAGTCACATTAGAGGGTAAGACATTTATCAATCAACCAATCAATCAGGCATTTGTATGGCATTTTTCACACAAAGTTTTACCGAGCAAAAGGAATTAAATAAAACAAAAAAAACAATAAAAACTTTCCCTGCTGCCTTCAGGTATTCTGGAAGGTTGCTGCAGAAATGTGGACAATAATATCAAAAGGATGCCTCAATATGGGTTTATATTCTGACTTTCAGTATAATGAAATGGCCACCTCGAGAGGACCTGAGGGTTTTAAAGAGTTCATGGAATAAAAGCGAATCTGAAAAAAAGGTAGAGTCCGGACTATTAGGAGCTTTATAAACCAATGAAGGATCTTATAATCAATTCTAAAGATGGTTTAAGTTGACACACGTCGAGCTGAGTTTTGAGGCAGCTGAAGTTGAAGAGTCTCTTTTTGGCTTGACTGAGGATTTGAGTCAATGATGAGTCCTTGATGTTTTACTTGTTGACGTGGGTTTCAGTTTTGCCCTGACCGAGACATTGAAAATTATCTGCCATCCATAACCTGATATGTAAAATGCAGTCATTGATTGGAAATGTAAAGTTGTGTGTCGTCAGCATAGTGATAGAAATTGAAGCCGTGTCTCCTGATGACATTTTCAAGTAGTTAAAAAGTGTAGGACCTAAAATTAAACCTTGAGGAACACAGTTAATTTTCTACCTTTTACATGAACATGAATCCATCTACACAACAACTTCTCCAACAGTACAAGATTTAAGTTTACAGTGGTGAACATCCTCGCTGAGATCCTTTACCTGTCCCCAGTCTTGCATGTCCCACATCGGAGGGCAGTCGAAGCGGTTGCAGGCCTGGACGGGACTGGGTTTGGGCTTCGGACAGTCTTCGTCCTTTAAAACCGCAGTGTGGTTGCTGTTCCGAGAGGGCCGGTGAGTGCACGCCACGGTCCGGGTCATCAGACCAACCCCACAGGTAGCAGAGCATGAACTCCACTCCCCTGTGTCCCACCTGTGGAAACAACATTCACTGAGCCACCTTCCAAAATAGTCTGTTGCAGATCTACAACACATGACGTACGCATTTAAAGAATGCACCCCATTATCAAATCAGTATAGTCAAGAGGAGCTCAGTCAGAATGCTGGATGGTTTTTCTTCATCGGACAGAAGGACGCTCTGGCAGTCCTACGAATATGTAAATTCACGAGAGGGAAATTCATGAACTGCGAAAGGCAAGATGTATTAAACCTCTTGCTAAATTCACTGATATTTGAGAAATCCCTGTGGCATTACTTTTCACTGGACCTATGAGGACCAATATTCATGTTGTTGTCCAACACAATTTCATGCAGTGTCATTAATCCAGCATCAAAGTTACCGTCACATGTTCATTCCAATCTGAGGCCTGCGGCAGCAACTTTACTTCTGGCTTGACGGATTAGGTGATATTTCAAAAATATTCATATTTACTCAAGGGTCCGGGGACTGAGGAGAATTGGGAATGAAGCTTGTTCATGGACCAGGACTACTCAAAGCTAAATCCAATGGCTGTTTCCCTTCAGAGGGAACACTATCCAAAGAGTGTAGCCTAATATGGGAGGGTGAGGAGGCCTCAGGGAGGGAGTGAAGGGCCAAAGGAAACAAGCCCAATGCAGCGTTTGTTGTGCCTGAAAACAAGACTCAAGGCCTGGAAAAACAGGCAAGGGCAGGCTGCAAGCCGCTGGGTTTTCTGACAAGAGTGTGAGTGGTGGAACACTGACAATGTCCACGGTGTTAACTTGAAACGTGTGGCTACCACAAAATCCACTCACCGTTCAGCCACGACTGTTAAAAGACATGCCATGTTGCTGTTTAATCTTTTAGGTATTTTATTTTGATAAATCTTGTTTGGTTAGTTACCATTAGCAATTACAAATCTGACATTACGTTATTGCTCTTGGGCGGCATTCCAAACAGATATCCACTGGACTATGGGGGGATAACTGGAGACCTATCAGGCATTAGTATTATTTCATGTGGCATATATGGAGCCCGAAGCGTGATTATATGGTGACATTACACTGAGACTGGACTTGTCATGGTTCACATATTCACTATGTTGCTTCCACATTTAACTTTTTTGTTGTTGTTGTTTTTAACTTTCTGTTTTTAATCTCGCCATTCATTGCTTATTTAAGGCAAACTGACCCCACTACTGGTGCAATAAGAGCCTCGTCTGCTGATTTTGTGTTAATTTATGTCCGAAACCTAACATACATTCATATTTTGCAGAATGTAATTGATGTTTTCTTAATCTTATTATTGGTGCATCATGTTATCCAATCGCTGCAACACAGGGGGTTGATTTTGATGAAGGATATGCAGAATAATCGAGATGATCACCAGTGAATAAAGGGGGGAAAAAAGCAAAACTTGAACCTTCTGATCCCCAAAATTCGCCAGAGGCATGTTACATTTATTATTTTTTTAAAGTACAAGAAACTATATATATTTAAAAAAAATTCCATGTATTAGTCATTGGTAACATGCTTTCAACCACATTTCAGCAAACCCAGTGGAAAAAGTTCCTACAAATAAAGTGCTGGCTGCAACGAGATTCTGTAAAAAACAAAAAATTCTGGGCTCCACGGTGCAACAGAGAAGTTATTAATGACTCAACTGTGACCAACAGTGACATAACAAAAATTCAGAGAGTTTTTGGCTGAACTGCAGGCTGTGTTTGCCCAGAGCAGATAGGAGATAATTACGGGGAAAAAAATAAACATGTAAGTATCTATAATATGTAGAGACACCGATTTTCCTCAGTAGTGGTAACACCTGTGGAGACTTGAAAAAAAAATGCTATTTGTTGATTGCATCATTTGTATCACAAATACAAATTCATCTTTGTTTTTCTTCTTTTTTTATGATTTACGGCATTATAACTGTGTCATACTGTATACAAGTTCTCTCTTCTTTCTAGTCTTGTCTAGTTGTTCTGCTTCCACTGAAGTGCAGGACTTTATATTGCAGAGAAAAAATAAACTCACAGGGAGTAAAAATGTGACAGGAGTAAAACATAGAGGGTTCAGAAGGTTAACAGGGTGGGCTGACAAGTCAAAAGGCAGTAGCAACAAGCTAATTATAACAGCACCAATAACTTCAACTGAAAATTTAGCAAGAATATTCATATTCTCCAGAGAATGACTACAAGGATTTCAGTGATATTTTGACCTTTAACTGGCCTAAATTCAAGACAACTTTTGAACCCTTTTGTCCATTTCTAAACACAAGATATTTTATAATGTATTGAACAGATTGCTGTGATGTTTTTCATGCTCAGCTGCGCGATCACAAGCCTTTCAGTCGCATCCCCTCAGGAAAGCCATGACACTGTTAACCCCTCTGCTAATGTGGTAGATTTGTCATTATGACATGCGATCATTAAAGGTCAGTTGTAGTTGTGTAAAAGGCCAAGTGGTGGTATTTTACTGTAGTCGCTCGCCAAAAGTGTAGCACTTAAATCCTCCTTTGTCTCTACACCAACACGTCCGATCGTTCCGAGGAGAATCGTACATCTGAGCCTCGCAGGTAAAACTAAACACTGTCATCCAATCCCTGATTCTGACCAGGTTCCGCAAAGCTCAATTTCCTGCTCTCAGTGATGCGACCATCCATCACTGTCGTTCTGCCTCAGTATCACTTGGACTCAAGTGGCTTAAATTGGGATTTAATTGGCCCAAGCGGTTTGGTTTGAAGGATAATGTAGTGGATTAGAGGCATTTGAATCTCTTTTGTATATAACCAATGATTAGAGCTGATTAATTGGTTTCGGCTCGTGGAGTGTTTTTTGATCGTTTGAGAATTAAGTGGTTGCATGTGTATGGCCAAGGAATGCATCAAAGCTTCACAAAATGGTGCATAAATGTCCTCGCTATAGGATATATATTGCATATTTTGGAGGGACACACTCTTGGCAAACGAGCAAAGCTCTTGTTTTTAATTAATATTTTCTTTTAAAATGCAGCCAAACATATTTCCCCTCCGATTTGCCTTCATCCATCAGTCTTTTTTAATGTTCCTGCACAAACCGTTTTAAACTGTGTTTGAATTGACGAGGAGGTCTGAGGTTTTGCTGTTACCTGGGTGGGCAGGGCTGAGTTTTGCAGTCCTGGAGGAGCTGGGGGGGACGGCGAGAGCTCACGCACAGGGTTTGGTCCGCTGCCTCCCTGGTCTGCTTGTTCAGGCAGATGACCACGGCCTCCTGCACACCTGGGGGAAGACAACCAAGGAATCAGAAGCATTAACACACACCGGATTGCTGTCCTGCTGTTGGACCTTCCTCTGAGAAAAATGCAAACACATGCTGTTCTTGTTAAGCATCTCTTGCTTACAAATTACCACTCATCTATATGGAGCATATTGCAAGCAGACGCTGCAGTGAAAAAACACTGATGGGAACGTTAGAGCGGTGCAGCCTGAGCTGTGGATAAATCCTGAGTGCAATGTAAGGTCATATTAAAAGTAATGTAACATAAATCTGTGAGTCTGTTCTTCATGTTGGGGACAATAACAGTGAAGCAGGCACTTCAAACGCCACAGTGGTGTGATGGTCCACAGGAGCGCAGCCCTCGGGGTGTGTATGTGACATCCGATACCAAGCTGTAATCATCCCCGAATGGGAGTTTGTTGAGTTTGGGAGAGCACACACACACACACATATACAAGCATTGACATAAGCCTACGCCCATGTGCAGAAACGAAGTTACAAATGCACACTCAGGCTTGGATGTGGAGGTGGGGAGATGAAAGTGGGCCTAAACACATGTTGGCAGGATGTTTAGGGAAGCTGTCTCTGTCTGGCACAGCGTTTACTGACCTTTAGGGTTAAACTTCCATCCATTATCATCCAATATCATATGACTTACTCATGCTCGAAGCCTCACTTTAGTCATTCATTGACGTAAGGTCACTGGTTACTGCATTTCACATTTCATGTAGCAACAGGGATGAATTCAGTGACACTGACGGAGCTGCGCTTGCCTGAATTTACAGTCCTATAAAACTGGGCCATATGCTGTTTTTGTAGTATTTATACAATAGAAACGATTCTGTGATGGTTTCGAGGCCGCTGCTGAAGTCCCAGTGAGTGTTTGTTAACATTATCTGTGGTTGCATCAGGATTTATGAACCTGCGCTCCTCTTTTTAAGAACTCTAGCTGTGTGGCCGCAGGGATGGAAACGTCTGCTGGTTCACCACTGACACGTATTAGTACACCTCGATTAGAAGCTGTAAAGTCATTCATGATCACAACAGGATATGATGATAGTTTTAGTTATAGGTGAAACAACATTAGATGGATTGTAGTGAAATTAGTTTTTTACATTAATTCCTCTTGAACTGAAATAACTTGTGATCCCTTAAAGTCCCTTTCAGTCATTGATTAAACCCCAGAAACACCTCTCAATGTGTCAAAATCACACATTTGTATGTTTTCTTTTAGCCTTAAAATGGCTTAAATGTTCACCTTTGTTGTTTTTGTTTTTTAAATGTGGAGACCTGGTGTAGACTGATTATTTGGCTCATATGTCTTCTAACATAAAGAAAAACACACAATAAACATGTTAACAGTAGAAAAAAATAGATTTTCATCATTTGGGGGTCTTTAACTTTACATCTGGTGTCATTGTGGCTCAGATTTCTTTGTTTATGGCCAATTCCTGCAAAACCAGCAGCAGTTCCATCAGCATGGGTTTAGTGAATTTAGCAATGCTAGCATGCTAACACACTGACTTAAGATTGTGAACGTGGTGAACCTTCCACCTGCTTAACATCAGCATGTTACCAAAGCCATTAGGAACTCAGGATGTCCCCGTCCTAAGACTGGGGTCGGCAATTTTTACCTGATCAGTATCGGCATGAACCGAAACCGCCTCCTTTGTTTATGTCCACAATCGCAAAGGTGTCATGAATTTTAAAATATTGTCAGTTTAAAATTGTTCGATTTGTGTTACAAAATGAGTACATTAGACATTAATCCTGTGCTGGCGTTGCTATTTTAAGCCACGAACACATGAACAAAGGTCATATTTACCACTAGGATATAGGAACAGTGTTCTAGTTGATCCTGGCTTGAATGGACATGCACCAGCCACAGGTCACTAAGCGTCACATAAGACTTTGTCATGGTGCCTCTTTACGAGCTAAACCCCCACAATGCTCTCAGCTTGGTAACACTGAGCATCCTGACTATCTAACACTAAGAGGCTCCACCTGGTGGCGCCACCAGCTACTGCAGCTAATCTACAATGCATGAATAGCGTTTGAAAAATGGTATCGGATTGGGACTCCATACCGGCAGATACTGAATATTAAATGACTTGGATTGGATCGGGGGCAAGAAGTCTTAAGCTTCACTTTTATGAACATGTTAGAAAGAAGCTTAAAGCGATGACGTTCCACAGCACAGCTGGAGACTTGTATCAACTCCCATTTAACTTCAAACTTCCCATTTCTGTGCTTTCTACTTGTCTTTACTTTTAAAGATATCAGCTGAGTGTCCATACCTCCCCCACAACTCTCTGAGCACTCCGTAAAGCCTTCGTACTCCCAGTCGTGCAGCTCCTCTCTTTGCGGAGTCGTGTCCTCTTCTTCTTCCTCCTCCTGTTTGCCGTCTCCTCCTTGGCCAGAGCAGGGAGTCCGGTAGCAAGGCTGGCTCGTAGCAGGCTTCACCCCCTCGCATTCGTCATCGGGCAGGTCAGCCACGGTCTGGGAGAAAGACAGCAGCACCTGGCACTTGACGGTCCGTTGCTGGGTCCCGGCGCCGCATGTCCTGCTGCAGGGCTGCCAGGGACCAGGGATGAAGCTGGAGATAAAGATTTTATATACACATAAAGTTGTAAGGCTCATTTAGTACGTATAGCTCACACACCTGCATCAAACAGGCTTGGAAAAGTTGTTCCATTTGACTTAGATTTTATAAGGACTGCTTCCTTAGTTTGAAATTCACAGATTTTGAGCATTCCCAGTGAACAGATTTTATTAATTTGCCTGCAGGTTCATAAACTCACAAACTATTTATGAAAGACAGTCCAGCTGTGATTAATCGAACAGCTGTGGAGCGTTAGGATCAGCTATTACTTGGATAAACGGCTTTCAGGCGCATCCTTCCTCGTCTTAAAGAATGGATCAGAGGGGGAAATACTTCAGGCCCACGGACTGAACTGTCAACCCAGCTTCAGGAGAGTGTAAAATAAATAATAAAAGTACAACGTGTGAGACAGAAAGAACTCTGAATCCCTCTTGATCTTCAAATTTAATTGATGCTCTCGATGAGAACTGTACTTTCTAGGAAATGCACAGAGAGATGTCAGCTAAGATTAAAACCTTAGAGGTTTTGATGGATCACGGAGGGTGAATGTGTGCAAAACATCCGCAATGATTCAGTGATGTGCAGCTGTGGTGACAGGGGGAGATCATAGCAGGTGTTTCATGATGTGTTTTTGTTCATTAAGTGTGCATGAAAAAAATATGTAGCAGTCTGGATATTCTCATGTGGAAATATGACTCTATACAAGACAGCATTTGTATCACACCTGAGATCTACTAATGATGTCTTCTTACTGATCTTTTATGGCCGTGGAAGCTGACTTTTACACTCTGCACAAGGATCCATGATCTTCATGACATTTAGTAATGCTCCTGCTCATGAATACATTCAGTCAGACTGTGTACAGGATGCACTAGGTTTTAAGGCATGTATCTCACAGAAAGCTCCTCCAACAGAAAAGCTCACATCAAAGCTGAGATGTTAAATTTGTATAGTATCCATTATTTATTTCACACTGACTGTAGTGAAGAACCACCTACTTCTGGTTTCTTTTTTGCAGACACAGTTAAAAGGATTTAAAAGCGTCTTATTGGAGAGGTTCCATTCATGCACGCAATTTTAAAATCAAAGCCACCAGCTGCATTGGTTAAGCTGAGACTAAACTGTGTGAATCAGCAGTTACTGAACTTGCATTGGATTTCTCTTTGGCTACTGAAAGAAAGTCGATGAATTTGAGAGAATCATGATGAGATAACTGTTTCACAGAGGTGCTGCTGGAGCCACTGACGGAATAAAAACAGCTGCATAAGTCTAGTTTGTTGCAAGCTCATGAACAAAATGACGCGAATCAGCAAAGTGATTTTAAAGTTCCGCCTCGACATCATGGAAACTTCTCACTTCATGCTAATCATTAAATTTCTTTGGTGCAGTTTTTTTGGGTACAGAATTGACGATAGGTCGTTTCTTTTTACTTAATTTTACTTTATTTAAGACCATAGTTTCCAAATCAACTTTTTAATCGGACAGATCAAATCCTCATTGGTCGGACACTTGCAGGTGGAGGAACAGACCACCTGTGAACCATCATGTGTTTATACAACTTTGAACTCATCCAGCTAGGTCTGATTTATTCCAAATTTACTCGAACTCGACTCCAAACTCACCGATATCATGTGACCGATGTGGCTGCGCTGTGCTCAAACAGATGGCCAGAAAGTCGAGTGTAAAATTTGCAACAGTTCTTGTGCTGAGATCTGGTTTATTTTCAGAAATCATACAGGCAGGAGCAGGCTGCTCTGCTCGTTGCCATTTCAGCAAATGAGGTTAAAATGATTTAATATGCTGCAAATACTACCTGGTTTCATTTAAGGCTAGCAGGTAGAGTGCACTGTGGTCGATTGAGTTAATGTAGAGTTGGCTGAGGAGGAGCTGAGGAATATTTTCTTTGGTTGACTTCAGCCCTACATAATGCCTATAAGAGTTCCTCCTAATTGCATTCAGTGAAGCTGGCTAACCATCATTACCTGAGTCCAAATGTTCCACTGAGTGACTTATAAAAGCAGCATATGTTTAATGTACATCACACAGGTACCACTAACACGGCGGCCTTCAGCAGCGCTCTACCCCGGTTGGCCCACAACACAAGAGCGCCACGCTGTTTTACAAGATGCCCCAATAAAGAGCTCATAATTACAGCAAAGTCGGCTCTTTACGAGAGCTCGAGGACTCATTGTGTTTTGGACAAACAAATGAATCACCGGCGGTTCGACCTTGGAACGGGAACAACAAAGTCAACAAGCGAACCCGCAGAAATGTTTATCTTCATGCGTAGTTAAAGTACATCTGTCAGTTCAAAAACAATCTTGATTTCATTCATGGAAGGAAACAACACATTTTTGTAATATCCGCCAGAGCCCCACGCTAATCATATCAATTAAATTTCCATCAATGGAAATATTTTATTTACTCATGGTGGAAAAATGTTTTTGGCCGGATCGCGGGTCATATATGGGTTTAATTTTTCAAGCAGTCGCACAGCGGTGGGTTTCGGGGCAGCCATAAGGCCTGGCAGTGGAGGTGCAATAAGTCTAACGCAGGAATTTTCTTCTCCTTCCTCTCACATCCGTAACCTGGCCCCATATGGTAGGCAGATATTGTTGTTGGCTAGTGAACGACGGCGTATTATACACAGTTATTTATGTGCTTTTTCGAGGAGAGACATGCTTTTTTTTTTTTTTTTTTTTAACAGAGCAAAATCATATGTTTTGGCGTCGCTCTCTCACATCCGTAACCTGGCCCCATATGGTAGGCAGATATTGTTGTTGGCTAGTGAACGACGGCGTATTATACACAGTTATTTATGTGCTTTTTNTTTATGTGCTTTTTCGAGGAGAGACATGCTTTTTTTTTTTTTTTTTTGCAACAGAGCAAAATCATATGTTTTGGCGTCGCTCTCTCTCTCCCTCGCTCTGGAGACGAGTCAGAGGAACAGATGTTTTGAACTGGCTAAAATGGCTGCTAATGCAAGTCATGCAAGACACTGGGTCGACTCCAAATATTGTCCATCTTCAGAGGACAGCCATTATTAGTCAGTTGATATGTGGGACAAGAACATCTGGAACATCTGAGGGCCCGCTGAGGTAATGCTGGTAGCCGGTGACTGAACTGAAGGAGTCCAAAAAGATGTGTTTTTCTCTTTTACCTTCGGTGTCGAAACTTCACCTCAAGTAACCTCACGGACAGGACGCACTCTCAAGCGTGAATCCGTGTTTATTTGTCTTGACGGCATTCAGACGCGTACCTATTTTGACATGCCTCGACGGAAAAATCTGCAGCTACAGTTTTTGACTCCACGTTGATGGAAATTGCTGCTGACACGAACACAACCGTGATACTGTGGCTGTTGCGTGGCAGCACTCGGCCCTGTCCGCTTCAATTTCACCTCCAGGTAAGTCCTCAGCTCCGGCTTGTTGTTGAAACTGCGTATCTGGGAACTGACTTTTGAGCTGTTATTTTTTTTTTTATCCCTGAGGAGTAACAGTAATTCAGTAGAAGGGTAAATTTACAGCTTCCCCCTCTTCTTTTTCCAGGTTATGAACTTTGAGAACCTTGTATAGCTTTAGCAGTTTCATCTTCCCATAATAGTAATTTACAGTCAAGGCCCAAACACCTGCGATGGTTTGAACGGGATATTCAGGTCTGACGGGTCCAAAGAGGCCGTGTGATCTGGGTAACAACCGCTTTACGAGTGAGGAAAAAGTCCCACAAATCTAAGTGTGAAAGTACGGTTTAAAGGTTGAATCCAGATTCATTCTGCTTTTCAGAAAAGGAAGCACCCGAGGTGGGTTTGTGTTTGCTGAAACTCACGTCGGTTCCTCCGTCACGGTGACTTCCTCCTCCAGCTCTATGGCCTGCTTATGCCACACAGGTTTCGCCTCAACGGGGAGCGTATCTGGATCGAATGGCACCAAAAAAGCAGCTTAACATCACATGTGCACGTTTAAAAAGTGAGTTTAAAGCATGACAAAACCGCCGATCTCACCCACCTATGGACTTGTAGCAGGGCACCGTCACCAGACACTCCTCCTTGATGTGGGGCTTGGTGGTGGGGTTGCATCCTCCGGCGTGGAGCCCTCGGTGATCGATGCACAGCACCACCCTGTAGCGCAGCCCCTGACCGCACGTCACCGTACACTGCAGACGACATCAGCTATTAAATACCAATCGATAGTGAAGCTATCAGTGTATTTTCCCACACGCTAACTCCTGCGGTTCCATCGCTTTGCTTGTGTTTGATAGAAAGCCTCGGTCTTTGACTCAGGGGAGCCAAAAAAAGAGACCTTCAACTACCCCAGCAGCTCTCCGCTCAGGAGCGAACTTTGTGTATCCTCTGCCAAAACAAGCATTTTAAAGGCAGAGGAAGAATGTGCTAGATAAACAGCATCCCAGGATTTTAGGAGGCCACAAATCTGGCTCCCTGGGCTTCTGCATGGGCCTGCTCGACTGGAAAGGCACAAAAACGCCCCCGAGGAAGGTATACGCGACGTTTACGATAGAATGGGACATAACTTCTTTACTGTCATTGCATAACGACAACAAATTTAAATTTGCAACTTCCTTATGCGAGGCTATGAGACACTAAATAACACAAAATATAACCCCAATAGAATAAAAATCACAATAAACAGTAATAAATCTACAGTCCTGCAATAGGTTTAGATGCACAGTGCAGCAACAGAACTAATACAGTGTCAGTTAAAACCTCTGAACCAGCTGAAAGTGACATGACACAGTGATATTTATTGTTATTAAAAAGTTAAATCTGAATAAAATGGATTTTCAACTTTTCAGTGGTTTTTGAACGCCTCTGTTTTGTCTGAAAATTATCTACAACTAAGTTTAAAATCATATGAAGAGTTCATTTGCAAAATCAGATTTTCAGAAAACATATTTTTTTGTTGTTTGCTTGAGATAATATCAATCAAACTGAAGCTGAGTGGATCTGACTCAGTAGAAAAGACAAAAACAGAGATAACTTAAGTCTGATTGATATCGTCTCAGGTAGACGATGGAGAAGTGGGTTTCTGAAGGTTTGTGAAGATGGAGTTCTCTGTTTTTGCAAATGAACTCGTCATATTACCTCTAAAATTAACAATTTTCTTAAACCAAATTTCGTCAGCTGTGACCAACAGTCTTGGGATTAAACTTCTGAGAACACTTTGGCTGAACTGCAGGCAGAGCTGATAGGAGACAAGTATGAAAACAACAAAAAAAGTAATAAAATATCTATAATATGTAAGTTTTGTCCAGTATTGGTAACACTTGTGGGCACTTGGAAACATTTCGTACATGTAGATTCTAGATTTTTCCAAATTTCGGAGTATTAATAATCAAACAAGTTCATTTTTTTAATCATTATTTATACCATTGTAACTTTGCTATACTACACAAAAGACATTTTTTAAATTTCTCTCTTCTCCTAGCTATAGTTGTGCTTTTTCCATCGAGGTGCAGGACTTTATGTTGCCATACAAAATGAGTCTACAGGAAGTAATGATGTGACGGGATAAAAAAAAACCACCTAGAAGCTGCTTGTGGTTCAGAGGGTTCAGTAATTAACAGCTTAAACACGATCCACAGATATAAACGAGCATAAACAAGGAGCTGGAGCAGTGAGATAAAAAGTCACACTGAGGATGAACGTATGAGTCCCTGTGCACTGAGCTTGTTAGACAGAAACACATATTTACAGCAGCATAACATGGATGATGAGAGTGGATCTTAATTCTAGTTATTCTAAGGCACAGAAGGCCCTAAAGCACCTGCCACATGGAAGAAAGTGATTCAGCTTGGTTTAATTTAGTTTTATTTACAATTCGCCACAGATGATGGCATCAGTGTGCGGCTCTCCTGACTCCAGGGTCGTCTCATGCAACAGCAGCTCTGAGAGTTACAGCTAAACACCAAGAGATGATTCAGATGCACCGCCCTGATAATGCGAATGTGTTCTGGCTCGGCGAGGGAAAATAACTCCGCCGCATGCCGTTGACTGGACTTTTAATGAATCTCTGTGTGTTTTGGAGGGCGGCTGGAGGAGCGAGCGCGGTGAGTCACTCAAATTAAGATTAGCTGTGCGACTCTTGAAGCTTCAGCCAAAGACACGTTCAGGATGCTGCTCGTTGCTTAAGGAGCCGATTAAATCACAGGCTCGGCTGTCTGTTGGGTATTTTCTCGTTTCCTTCTGAGAATAATTAATCGTGTTTCTCTATGACTAATATGCTAAGATTCGACCTCCCCGGCGGTAACAGCTGCAGAACACAAGAAAATTGCTATTTTTATTTAGTGCATTCTAGTTGAGCTAAAATCCAATACTGTGACCTCACGAGCTTTAATCAGCTCAGCGTTGACTCCATCCTGTGTGCCTTTGTGAGTGAATAGAACAGTTCAAAAGCAGACTGAAGAAGGGTACCTACAGGTGACCACTCCTGCGCCAGCCAGGTGGGGCAGTCGAAGGTGTTGCAGGGCTGCAGGATTGCCGTTTTCGGGGAGTAGAGACACTTCCACTCCTCTGTGGGGGTGATGTTCCCCTGCATGTCCTCCTCCACGCAAGACACCGAGCGGCTCTGGATGCCGCCGCCGCAGGAGGTGGAGCAGGCCGTCCAGGGGCTGCTCTCCCATCTGATGTAAAAAAACATAGCAATCAATAGAGATGCATTTGTTTGTGTCGCTAATCTACCTGACTGGAGGTGAGTGCATACCGAGGCAGCGGGTGGTAGAGGTCATATGGCATGATTTGCTTGTAGCCATCACTGAAAGAAAGACAGAATCAGTTAAGGAAATTATGATTTGAAAATGTGGTGTTTAATAGAACTAGAGGTGGTATCCAACCTGTCCAGGCAGGGCTCCATGTTGCACTCCTGCAGTTTGGGTTTGGGTTTGACGTTCTCTGGGTAATAATGGCAATACTGGTCCACAACCACCCGGCCGCTCCGCAGATCAAAGCACTCCGCTGAGGTCAGCTGGTAACCTGCAGAGGAAGAAATGTCAGAAAAAAACTGCCCATCAAGACACGTCTTCACACAAAGGTGTCGTCGTACCTCCGCCGCATGTGACAGAACACGGGAAGAAGTCGGTCTCCCTCCAGCGGTGGATGATGGGCTGGTAGTAGATGTACTGGATCACGCTGTCGGCTCCACTGGCGAACTGCACCTGCAGGTACAAAGCTGTCTTCAGAGGTCTTGTACTCAAATTATAATCCCTGTAAAGGATGACGTCTCACTGATCTGGTCATCTGTCTGTATGGATCAGTCCTTGCAACTCACAGTGATCCTCAAATTTGCTTAGGAGGTTCAGATTTTGCAAGATATTGAGCCAAATTAGAGATAACACAGCAGCAAATGTTCAATTTGCATTTGACTCGAGGCCATGAAGAGGATTTTAATGGGGCTCCCATGTCATTATGTGCACACATGGCGACCAAACAGACTTGTTGTAGCCATAAAAACGTAACAGCGCTGTTGCTTTAAGGCTAGAAATTATTTAAAATCTGTGTTTCAACGAGTAAAATCATAGGATTTATTAAACCTGCTGCAGGAACTGGTAGATCCCAAAGAAGAAACCATGTTTTCTTAATAATTACTTTCCAAGAAATAACCTGTGAAGGTCTAACAGCTTAAGATAACTTCAGTCATTGTGCTCATTAAACCAAGTAGTCTGGTTCAGTCTAGCCAGAAACTGGGTTTATAACTGAGAAAATTCTAGATTAGCTCAACCACAAGCTGAACTAGTAAGATGCCACATGTCTCTCTGCCCCCTAGTGGTCGCCAGAGCAGCTTAAATGTAAAATAGTATTGCGTTAATGTAAAAATAAATCACAGCCGGCCCACGCAGAGTTTCACAAAGTATGACTTGCATTTCTTTTTGCAAAATAATGAAAGATATCACACCACTTCAATAAAGTAGCATTATAAACATACCAACATTATTTAGCATAATCTAAAGATTCAAAGAGTCCTGAATTCATCCTTTTAACACAGATGTTATTTTGACATTGCTTCTGATCAAAACAATTTAGGTAAAATTGTTGAAAAATGTAAAACAAAAATAGCTGATGCAGATCAAATTATACAAACGTTGTTTACTGTCAAAGCAAACGTACGACTAAATGATATTGGGATCTACTTAGGGATGCTATTTGTCTTCTGAATCTGACCCTGAAAAGCCGGAAATGTCCATTTCTGCTCAGTTTTCGAGCACAGCTATTAGCAGGATAAATGCTCCTGTCATACAAAGTGATTAATAATTTCCTGAATGGGAAGAAATCATGTTTTTGTGCTTTGCTGAGATAAAATGAACCATAAAGAATTGAGATTATGCGTGTCAGTGTTTTGTCAGTCCTTTCTTTTTTCTTTTTTTTTTAAAGTTTCATAAATAATCTTGAAAAATATTCGCAGAAATGCCCCGTATTCATTATACCTGCAAGGCATATAAATTAAAGTCATTCACATTCATGTGTTTACTGTGGAAAGACTGTCTGGCAACTTTTTAATATGATTTTCCAAACTTTTTTCCAGGCCTGTGATATGAACTGGCCGTCTGCCTCGTAACAGATTAGAAAATTATGCATTTATAGCCTCTCAGATTTCCGTCTCCTCTGTTCCTATTTATTGTCCGATCCTGACTTGTGTTTATGAGGGGGGAAGTTTTCACAGGCGTTTCCCAGTCTGTGGCCTGTATAATTTTTACTGTCCACTCACTTGCCCTCGTCTGAGAATTTGTGTGCAACGTAACAAAGCAGAGAAATATGCTGCAGTCACCGTGCCACGGCGCTGTTAAACTACTGGATTTATGAAGTGGATTTATGTACTGTTGGGTTGTTAGACATAAATAAACGTTGACATTTGATAACCAGACGTGCTGCAATTCTCCCTCACAGTTTGACATGTCAACATGAATCAAACACAAGTTTCATCAAGTGGCATTTACACCATGGAGTAATATCGAACGTGGCAGCCAAAGACATGAAATCATTTCACAATATTAAGCCAAAACCAACCACTGGGTTTGGCGCGATTAATGTTTATGCTACTATTATTAATGCCTGATGACACATCGCTTCAAAACATGTTGTCCCTAAAAGAGCGCGAGCAAGACAAAAGACTTGTCTGAGTTTGATATTTACGTGGCTCACGCACGCGCCAACGTCTTTAAATCTGAACGTACTGTATCAAATCAGATCCGCTTTGAACTCTGCACAACACGGAGGAGGTCACCGGGAGTTCATGAATAACAACCTTATCAGAGCCCGGTTTGGTTTGGCTGCACTATTTTCAGAGCTTTACGTGGCAAAAACGACGGTTTTGAATTAAGGAGCGGAAAAGACAACAAAAAGCTCCCGGTGATGTCAGCTGTTCAGTAGAATGAAGCTGATTGGGATCATTCGCACGCAAGCAAGTCTGAGGGCTGCTGGTTTTAGCTCCCTGATAAGAGAGTTTTCACACGTTCACATTTTCAAGTCTGCAATAAGTCATTTTTCAGCCTCTCAGTTCACACAAAATGAACAAAATGCAGCTGGTTTGCACATCAGCATTTATTTTAAGATGTTCTTTGGTCCACCTGATGAATAAAAGTCCAATTTTAACTGTCCTTTTTCGCTCAGTTTTGGTCTCCACCCATTCTACTCAATCTTTAACTATGTTTGGTCTTGGGCAGGTAGTGTACATGTTAAAACATTTTTGCATTAAATAAATTATCTGTGAGAGCATTCTCATTTGTAAAACATCACTTAATCCACTGATAAATCATAATAACCTTTCAGTATTTTATCATTTAAGTGGTCTGAGAGAAAACTAGACTTCTACAACTCCTCTTAGCTTCATTTTCAGACTTTAGAAAATGTCGCCCATGACAGGAGACTTTGGTCAATGGCAGGTATTTTCATAGAGAGAGGTGTTCTTCATAATCATAAATGTAGATGCATGTGCACAAGCCTCATTCAATGGTGGAAAATCCTGGAGGAAAAGCTGATATTCCAGCATTAGCAGCGACTGACTGCACTACAAAGCAACCCGAAAAGGACAACAGACTTTGAAAAAATAGTGAAAAGAGAAAATAAATGCAGCAAAACACACTCCAATAAGGCATAAAAATAGAACCGGGAGCCACATTAGGTATATTCTAACCTGGACAGGTGAGCTTTTATGTTAATTTCCAGTGGTTAAGTAGATAGTTGGGTTGTGTAGATTTACCTGCAAGCTGGTGATGAGTGGCTTCACTGAATGTTGCTAATAGTTTAGCTTTCTCTTGCAAAAGTCTCACGGCTGCAGTTACAACTACTTTAATGTCATGTTGATTAAATTAAATATGGTTGTTTAGCCTTGGAGCTGCAAGGTAGCTCAGTGATTAGCATCGTTGCCTCATAATAAGAAGATCGCCGGTTCACATCCCGGTGAGGACACCCGGGATCTTTCTGCGTGGAGTCTCCATGTTCTCCCCGTGCAGCGTGGGTTCTCTCCGGGTTCTACAGCTTCCTCCCACACAGTCCAGAAACATGTTGAGGTTAATTGGTGATTCTAAATTGTCCGTAGGTGTGAATGTGAGTGTGCTTGGTTGTCTGTCTCTAAGTGTAGCCCTGTGATAGACTGGTTACCTGTCCAGGTGAACCTGCCTTCACCCTGAGTCAGCTGGGATAGACTCCAGCCCCCCCCCACGACCCTAATGAGGATTAAGTGGCGTATAGGTAATGGATGGATGTTTAGCCTTGTGTTGGATGCATGTGTGACCAGCAGGATGAGGGTGCTTTTAAATTATTTCTACTCTAGCTCTAAGTCAACCAAATTTAAATATGTGTTCGTTCCAGCTCTTACTTTGACGGTGAAATCAGCCCCGAGTGGGCCGGTGATCCTCAGGACTTCTTTATCGGAAAGCTTCTGGTAGTCCAGGCTGGTGTTCTCCAGGTGGTACTGCCCTGACTTATCCAAGGCCAATTCATCTTTCACCCCCTGTAGAGTCTTACTCTCCACATCTGAAGAGAAAAAGAGGCGCTAACTGAAGTATAAATAGACATATAAGTCATAACAGACAACGTGGAGGCAGGTATGCTCACTGACTAAAACAGAATTCACCTCAACCTCAATTTTTCATCATTTCTTGCACATTTTACTTTATTATTCTACCACCACTTTTCACTTATCACAGAGTCTTTGACACAGACCTTGAGTCAGATCCAGTTGCACACAAAGAGCACAGTCTGGCTGTTGTATTTGGACACAAAGAAATTCACTCTGGCACTGCCAGGAGGCTCATGGAGGTCTGCGATCAGGCCAGCGCTGCAGTGGGTTTGACCTCACCTCACCTCTGGCTTAACAGGGTCTTGTGTAAATCCGGTGTGCACGTTAAAACAAAAAAATAAAACAACAGAGACAAACAGGAACAAGCAGTAACCGGCAGCAGTCCTCATCTGCTGACAAGTGGTTACAATTTAAGCGCCTTGGGGCAAAAAGGATGGAGGGAAATGTTTAATGAAAACTCCGTCCATTCAGGAAACAGTCTCCAAACTAACCATGGAGCAAAAGGAAAGGTACGAGGATGGAACATTTGTTATCAATTTGATCCGGGGGGAGTTTGATGCCAGTACTTTGACATCAGTGATATTTTCTGGAAGATTTGTGTCTTCTCAGAGCCAAAGGAAAAGGGAAGAAATATGTGCCTCTTCTGCTTGTAAAACAGTCCTAATGAGGGAGGCTTTTGGAACGGGGAGGAGGAGGAGGAAGGTTAATTCTAGATTGTTATTAAGGTGAACTATCATTACAAGGCTGCCAAGTGTAGTAATCTGTTTTCTAGTATGAAAACGTCACCATCTTGTCTTTTTTACACTCTGAACATACAGCATATATATGTGTGTGTGTGAAAAATTAACTCTTTCTTTGCATTAATAGTCAGAAAAACAGCATCATACGCAGGAAGGTCAGAGCAATGCAGAGTACTTGTGTCCAGTGTGAAGTATTTGGCGATAAAACTACACCCAATGCCAAATCTAAAGATCATGTTGAGCTGTTTTGGATGGGAGGGCACCCTGGACCTACCAGGACTTACACAAGTGATCCGGGCCTTTCAGGACGAGACGAACGTGGCGACTCTTAAACGGGATGACGACCACCGTGTCCTCAGCTTGAGCGAGACAGAAAGAGACAATGTGAAGAAGATGCTAATCAGTACTCACAGAAATACAATGACATTAATTTCAGTTTGATGAAGGCAACAACCTCGAGCAAAACTGCTGTCAAGAAAAAGGTGATGCTGATGTAGACACTGAAGCCAATATGAAAGTGAATTAAACCTGCATTCTTTCTAACAGCCAGCAGGGGGCGACTCATCTCACTGCAAAAAGAAGTCCAATTGCAGAGAAGCCAAAAAGAAAATTATCTTACTTCTCACTTGATTTACTCACTCAGTCAACTTTTTCCTAATTATTTTATCATTTTAACTGCTTGTGTTAAGTCTTCTTCAGCACAGTGTGATGTTCATTTTGTAAATTATCGTCCCATTTACAGAAAAACAGATAGCAAAGCATGGCATGTTTTAGGATATGGCTACCACATGAGTCCTCCATGCCACTGTATGGTTAGTTTCTACGAGTTCCCAGTAAGATCCATCCCTTGCGAGTCACATTCAGTTTCAGAAAAACCAAGATCGCGACAGACAGATGTCCAAGTTGAGGCAGTAGTCCGAAAACCAGTGACTGACATTACATCAACCTTTCATCCACAGTCTATGGATGCTCACTGCATTGGTATGCAAGACTGCAATTCAACATGAACAACACCGTTTTTAAGCCAAAAAGCTGTTTTCTAATGTTAGCTTTCAAGAGTAACTCCATCACTTAAGACACTTAAAAACACTGGATGAAAAGACAGGAAAAAAGAAGGGAAAAATCAATAACATGGAGATGGAGGCCCTTTCCCGAATGCAACTCAACAGTTTCTTTTATTAGAAACTCCCTTCCTGGTAAAGACACCAAATTTATCCCCCGGTCTATAATGCAGGACTCCCATTTAAGTGCTAAAATCTCCAAATCCAAGCTCCTGATGACATTATCAGGTTTGTTTCTCACAGTTTTAACTGTTCTAGCCAGTGAAATGAACAGTAAAAATGTTTTAACTCACCAATATTTTTTTAAATTTAGAAAATAACTGTGTGAGTGAAGATGCTTTACTTTTTCCTGAAGCATGCTGGGATTTGTAGTGCCCTCGCACAAGCCTGCAGGATGAGCCGTCTCCGTTGCAGACGCCACAGTTGTCCTCCTTGGCTGTGCTGCCCAGCTCATGATCACAACCGACAATCTGTGACACACAGCAGAAAACCAATCAGTGGAAACATCACCTTGGATACAGATAAATCTTCAGCTTTAAGAAAATCTAGCAGGTAAATTCCTTCAGACACATTCTGCAAAAGCATAAAAAGAACAAACTGATGGAGGCACTCGTGTTGATTCCTGCAGAATTAAATATGAAGAAACCACTTTTCTTAAAACAACCATCTGGTCTCGCTAATATTCACATCTATCGTTACTCAGATAGTATGAAACATCCCTTTATGCCAGATTACGTTTCCAAAAACAATTTTACTCGTGTTTTTCATTAAACACTATCTTCAACCATCGATGGCTGATTGATGGAGTTTGTCGCAATTTCTGTCTGTGAAATAAAACCCCAAAACCGCAATGTGAGTCTAAGCTTTGTCAGGGAGTGCATTAAAATCCCTGTGTGTCTCTGCACACACGATGCCTCGGGATGTAATTCCATTCAACCGAGAAAGAATGCACTGTAAACTATTTCCTGGACTGTCAGTCAAAAGGCGAATGTCAAATATTATTCTCATTGGGTATTCATTGGTAAAGCAGATGGCACGACGGTGGTGTTGTAAGTCGGCCGAGCGTGTTTTGGTTTTCGTTGGGTTTGCTTACTTTAGCGCATCCAAAAAAAGCTCAACTTGTGAAGCAGTGTAGACAAAAACACCAGGAGTGATTGAAATATATTCTGTTGTACAAAGAAATTCCTCTCTGGGCTTGTACGGTTATGATTTGACTTGACTGGGCATTTTTGTTTTTGTAGTTTAGGGTAAAAAAAAACGGCTCTAATTTAAATTAGTGCTCATTCTATTACTGTTAAAGTTTGTATTTTGTGTTAAACTAAGTCGGAATAGATCCTGTTGAGGATAAATGTTTTATATTTCGCTACTTGAAAGCATCAAGCCGCAATAAAGCTTCAAACATACTTGCTCTCCAAGACCGCCTTCAACTTAATCTAAGCTTGCAGCTGTTCACAACACATTTGGACAAATGAGACTTTATTCCAAAAGATACATTTTTTAGATATTCTCAGTAACAGTTGATCAAAATCAAAAAAATTGTTTGCTTCTAAAAAGGCTCAGTTGGGACCCAAAACTTGTGAAAACATCCAAACACTGAAAGAAAAGTCAAAAGAAATACGCCAACTCTCCTGTTTTCCTTCTTCGTGACACCGTGAGTCCTACAAGATGTACATTTTGGCTCCGCGCAAAGGATAAAACAAAAGAAATAAACTGATTCCCGATGAAAGCGATGCAGCTCGATGACGCTCTCTCCCACCTGGCAGACTCCACTGATGCACATGTCCAAGGACTCGGTGTAACAGCGCGTTCCGTCCAGCACTTTGGGCGCCAGCTCCACCACAAGGCCCGAACCCTTGGCTTTGCATTTGAGAGTGCAGGGGTTGTCCGGGTCGTTGTACAACGGCAGCCACTCGTGGTACTGACCCTGGTAGCGCACGTCTGCATGAGCCGAACACTGCTGGGCTCGGAAGTCGCCGGCATCTGGAGGGCAGTCCTGAGGGGGGAGAAAAGAAACACAACGGGGTAAAACATCACATGTCGCTTTGTACACGGGTAGAGGATTGTGAGTGCAGCAAGTCTTGGTGGTTTAGACTATGATTGCTGCATGTAATCACCAGATTAAATGAAAACAAGATGCTCCCCACCCGCAACTCTCTCTTTAACAACGGGATCCTAGGATCACTAAATTACACCCCTTCGGCATAAATCTTGGTAATACTGCTCTAATTCTAAGTTTTTTCACTGAAAACCACTTAAAAGCCGTATTGACATCCATTACACAGAGACAAGTTTGCTAACTTACCACATTACTGCATGTGCGATATTTGATATTCTGCCCTTCGCAGGTCCTGCAGAAGGAAAAAAAAAAAGAAGTGAATGATAAAACAAACCACAGCGCACACCAATCATGTTCAGCTGGCATTTCATCCACTGACTCTTGTCTCCTTTTTTCAAATAGCCGAGCATGATAATGTGGCAACCCGCAAACATGAGTCTGTGGTGCGTTTGCAAAGCTTTAACAGCGTATTTAACACAATGTGACTACACATGAATACATGGGGATACAGTCGTGAACGAAAGCTTACATAAACTTGTAAAGACCATGTATGTCAGGGCGGTTTTGAGTTTCCAGTGACTCCTGGAACTCTTAACTTTCTATTATGGAATCACTGAAACCGTCTTTGTCAGAAAAACAGTGATGCATTTTGGCTTGTTATTAGATTTATTACAAATCTTCTGGAAGTACGACAAAATCTGCTGCGTCATAAATATACAAACAGCAATTCTAATATTTGGTTAAATATCCACTAGCGCTTTTAGTAGCCGTCCACAAGCTACTGCTTGCATCTTTGACCCTCCTCTTGACAGAATTGGAGCAAATTAACTAAATCTGTTGGCTTTCTGACACAGACTTGTTTCTTCATCAGTCCACAGGTTCTTGATGGGGTTTATGTCAGGACTTAGGGGAGGCCAGTCTAAAACCTGACTCTCTGGACTTGCTTGAGTTCCTTGAAGACGTTCCACCGCTCATCCAAGAGGCTTCATCAGCTCTGACTGACGAGTTGGGCGTTCCAGATACTGATATCCTGAAGGAGCCATTAACACAATAAAACCTTCATTCTAGTCTGATTCAACCATTTCTTTACCACTTTGGATGTGTGTTTGGTGTCATTGTATTGTTGGAACACCCAACTGTTACCAAGACCCAACCTTCTGGCTGATGATTTGAGGTTTTCCTAAAGAATGTGAAGGTAATCATCCTCCTTCATCGTTGTTCCATTGACTTTGTGTAAAGCACCATAATACTGCCACCACCATGCTTGATGGTAGGTTTGATCTTCTTGGGGTTAAAGTCCTCACCAAACATTTCACTTGTGACCAAATAACTCCATTTTTGTTTCATCTGACCACAGAACCTTCCTCCAGAAGACCTTTTCTTTGTCCATGTGATCAGTAGTAAACTCCAGTTGAGCTTTAGAGTCTCTGAGGAAAAGGCTTCCTTCCTGCTTTGTAGTCATGTTTGGTTTCTTTCATAGAAATCTTATTTATGATAATATTTGTGCAAAAATCTCCTCCTACAGACAATATAATTTTAAGCCAACATGGCTAACTTGCTAAAGGAATTAGGGCACAAACAAATCAGGATTAGGAAGGAAAATTTGAGGTTTCACAAATTCTACATGAACTGGAGGGAATAATTGAGAAAACAGGAGTCATTAGCTACTATAAATACTCTAAATGTACTCCCATTTGTCTTGGTGTACCGGTCTATAAATAAATCCTCGCTCGTTAAAGCAACACTACAGCACACACAGTACTAAAACAGACACAGTGAAGCCCTCCGGTCTGAGTCTGCTGAACAGATTGGAGCAGTTTGGATCATGACTCTCTGCATGACAGTCTGCAGTGTCTCTGCCCAAATTACGGAGCTAACCACTTTCTGAGAACGAGGATTCCTTCGTGCTTTGATGCCGAGTGATGATAAACCATCGATGATGACTATGATAGGCCAATTATCCCGAGACCCCAGTGGAAACTAATCAAATGATATTCTTTTGAGCTCGTGAACTTAAGAGGAATTCCAGTGTCACCGGCCCTTAGCTAATCTGGAGCCGTGATTGGAGGGAACGTCGCAGAGTTTGGACTCGCGGATGAGCGAGGGCTTAAGGATTTTTACGATATTATTGCAGCGAGCGGAGGGGAGTGGATGTGGAGCGCGTGGCATGGCAAGAGCATTAGAGGCTGTGACGAATCCAGACAGCGAGCTCTGCCAAGCCAAACAGAAGGTCACAGGGCTCGAACCCAAACAGGCGACTTCCAAAGGGCTGAGAGACAGGTAGCAAAAGATCTGGGTCAGTGTGGAAAATCACACCGCGACGAGGAATAGAAGCTTAAAAAAAGAGGCAAAGGTAATAAAATGAATTTCCCTTTTCATTTCCTTCTGACTTTGGACGCTTAAAAGTGGCGGCTAAGCAGAAGTAGGGCCAGGAATTAGGATTCATCGTGGCGTCATCGCAGGTTCGGGGGAAAATAACTTGGTTGAAATAGCACAATTCCTGGAGCACAGAACTCAGACTATAATCCAGCTGCTTTCTGCCAAACACACACGATAAAGACACAAAGTCTGTTAGTTCCACACAAAACTACCATCCAATAACTTTATCTGTAAGTGAAAAAATTAACGAAAATCTCATGAAAACTTCAAACTACTAACTCCTCATCATATTGGATGTGCAGTAAAAGTTGTCTGGCCCATAACATCCATATACATGTCATCAACTCTTCCCGCCGGATTGAAAGTAATTGCAAACAGGGCTTCATAACCTTTGCCATAATATTGATACACTCGTGGGCACACGAGAACGTGGCCGATTGTGTAACGCCGAAAATATGCTCCCGCTGTGAGCTCTGCTATTGATCAGAAAACTGAGCGCAGTCACGCCATCTGAGAGGAGAAACGTGAAGCCGAGAAAGATGCAGCGCTGCTTCTCTCCTTTGTCTACCAGTTTGTCTTTCAGTCAGTGCAGCGCTTTGGTTCTCGGCCAGGCGTCTCTGCAACTTTTGGCCCGCATTACCGTCACATTTGGTATAAATATTCATGGTTCCAAGGGGATGATTTATAAAAATACTGGTGATCCCCTGCCCTTTTTATCTTGTGCCACTACAAGGCTAAAATTTCTCTTTAATTCAACACTTTAAGCCATGAAATACTGTTATGTGTTTTAAAAGTAATAAAATAGCTCAACTACAGATTTGTTTTTTTATTATTTATTAGATATATTAGTTCCCCTAAAGATGAATCCTGGTGTTTTTGTGACGCCCCAACCTAACCTCAACCCCTTTCTGTCTGAAAGCACCTTTAGTCTTGTTAAATCTAGTGGAAAGGCTTTCAAAATAAAACATTCTCGCTGTATATTCTAGATTTTTATCTGCTGTGATTTAACGTATTTACGTTGCTGCTGAAATCAGGAAACTAGAAGCAATTATTAAAGGCTCCCTCCAATAAAAAAATCAACTTTTTAAGCTTGTTAACATGTCATTATGGTATTTTTTTATTTGCTAGAAGACACATCACATCATGACCATGTCAAAAACACAGATTTAGACTTCTAGGGTTTCATGTGTAAGAAGAAAAACAAACCTAAAAACAATCCTATCAACTGATATGGTGGAGATTTTTGTGTCATTATTCTTTTTAAAAAATTGGATTCCAGTTCTAACTAACTATGGTTGAATTACTCCAATATGGCAGCGGATTGTAGTTTAGTTTAGTTTCAGCAGAGCCGAATGGGAGCTGGTGTGCTCGAGCTGCAGCAATTTAAAGAGGGGTGGCAAATAAGTCGTTTATCTTAGTAAATCGATTTGCCGTTTGGTTTATAAAATGTCGGATAATGGTTAAAATAAATGTCTTGTTTTATTTTTCAACCCAAAGATTTTCAGTTCACTGTCAAAGAGGATTAAAGAGACAAATGTAAGAAGCTGGAATCTGAGAAATTTCTACTTTGTTTCATAAAAAAATTGCTTGAACTGATTAATCAGTTATCAAAATAGTCGGTGGTATATTTAAAATTAATCGGTTAATTGTTGAAGCTAGGCTCCAGCCCCCCCGCGACCCTAATGAGGATTAAGCGCTGTATAGATAATGGATGGATGGATTGTTGAAGCTCTGGTAGAGTTACACTGAAGCCATTTAAAGGCAGGAAGGGATGAACTTCATGGAAATAAAACTAAATATGTACACAGAGATGAGCTTTGACGAGATAAATCATTGACCTAACGGGGACTTTAAAGTGGCAAAAAGTCCTTTTTATTGCATTGTGTGGTTGTTATGAACATTGAGGTGGAAAATAAAAGCTGCTGAGACATGAAGACGTTTTTGAGCTCCAGCTGTCAATCACACATGCAGAGAGTGTTTTCTTCCTGAAAGGGGCGGGCACTGCAGTTCATTGGTTTTCAGAGCAAAACAGCCTGTTTAGAGCAATCCTAAAACCAGAAGTTAGACAGTTATGATAAAATGAACCACCTTTGCTGTATTTTGAGTGAAGAAACCTACAGACACAGTTTGCTGAAAAGGCTGTACAATGTACAACCAATATAGACTCACTTCTTTCCTTAAATCTTTTCTTTTTCTGCCTCTTAGATTCTAAAAGATGTCAAATCTCAATCCAAGATAAGTTTAAATCCGACAACAACTCCACACAGATTGCTTTTCCTTGATTCTGGCATGACATGCGCTCAGTTGTATGGTAAAAAAATAGCAGGAGGAGGAGGTCGCAGTGCACGGACCACACAGAGGGTTTTCCCCCTATGCTGAAACGCAGCAGACATAATGTTGGTGCCAGGCCCAAGTTAATTAGACAATTCATTGCCTTGGAGAAATTTCACTTTTAACAACCTTAGCCTTTAAAAATAGACTTTAAGCACAGCTGTGGCGTGCCTTCCAAACTGGCACGGTCACTTAATGTCACTGCCTGTGTAATTTCTGCATATTTGCACCCAATTGAACAGAGAAAACATCCACTTAGATGCTTAACTGGCTTCCTGCTTCTTCCCATCACTGCTCATCTTTATTTCCCAGTTGCGTAACTCTCTATACCCTCTTGGATTGCTGCTAAACTGAGTCATAATAAAGTTGAGACTGGCTTCTTTAAGTAAAACAAATGCAGAAAAAGAATAATAATGTGTTTGCCAACCGTGAGCCTCATAAATATCGGAGCAGGGCTTTCTCTTGCCATGACACCCAATCCATATGTCCACACTTGCTTCAAAAACCAGCGATTCTGCTGTTAATAATGGAGTTTGTGATCAAGTGAAGTGTGTTGTGTGGATAATGAGGGCCAGGCCATCTCTGCTCAGTCTGTACTTTGCATGCGCCCTTTAGGGAGGTCGGCCAACTCTCGTGCAGTAGCAGTAAGTTCCTTGTATGTGCAGAAAAAAAGTCGGAGTGGTATTGGTTTGGAGGGTGTCGCAGGCCCGTTTCCAGCCCCTCTTTCCAAAGATTTACTCACACAAGGGGCCTTGTGTTGTGCTTTTTAATGACGCTGTTTGATCTGCCACCCGGGGCCAGGCTACCGCTCCCTCATTCCCACGCAACGGCGGGGTGAGGCGGGACGGAGGGTCCTACCGTTTGCTCAGGAAGCCCATACATTACATTACAGCCAGCGCCAAAGGACACACAGGTTAGTAAACATACCCGCCCGAGCATCCACACACCGAACCGACGTCCCATATGTGAGCTCAAACCCCAAACACCTCTTAACACGTCAATTGCTTTTACAGCCAGTAGCATTCTGAGGTTTGCCTGACCAAAAAAATCCCGGGGCAGGCTGAGAGAAGCGGTCGCTGCTGATATCGTGAAATGAACTCCTTAAAAAAGCCATTGACCTCAATGTTTACGGTGCTGTACAGGGGAGGTCTGGCACTTCAGAGTCTGAGGTTTGGACAGTCTCAAGCTTCCCGGCCGTGTTCTGTGCTGCCAGTGCAGATAGATTCACGGCGGAGGCACCTCGCGGTACATCTGTTTTGTCGGTTCGTCCTCCGAGAGCTGCGTTATTACTGCTCCTGTCACTGGTGATGCTCCCTGAAACAGCGGTGACTTTAGCAGCACTGGCTACCTTTAGCGAGTGAGCAATACATTCTGGGAACTGTAAAATGGAGGAATGCAGTGAAGTCACCCTGCAGCTATTTCCCAGCCTATAAATGTGACAACATTTCTATGGAAAACATACCCTCTCGCTCCTTCTGTCTCTTTTTTTTTTTTTCTCTTGTTCCTTAAATCCATTTGTAATTGGCCACTTTGCCCGGTACACTCAGCCCCTCCGAGCTTTAATCTTGAAGCCCACTGGGTTAGCTCGAAGCCCAACGGACCGGGTGACTTTGGCACGAGGATGAAAGTAACCGAGAGGTCCAAAGTGCAAGTTCCAGTTGCTCCTGAGACATAAGCTGAGATGATGAGCAGTGGGCAGCCAACCAATGTGGGCTCACGGTTTTAAGAGCCCAAATTCTATCACATAAAAATAGTTGCTTGAACTTGATCCAAGGACATTGATTGTTCTGCTCTGATTTGTGCCAATAATGAAAATCAGACCCCAATTGTCACTGATGAACTCAAGGTTTAGACTCATAAGCTTGTCTAGACAGCTTCTCAGCTGACCCCTCGGGGATATTTAACAGTCATAATGCTCCCGTTACAACCCATGGGAATGACGCGTTTTGATTGGAGGGATTTACTCACACTATTAGGGGTGCTGCCTGAATGTCAAGGCCACGATGTTGCATTTTAATGGGACTCGGTCCAACCTCAGTCAGGACTTTAACAGAAGAGATTACCTGGGATAGTGTTTGAGCACACGCTTACAAATTGCCCAGAGGGATGGTTCCATTTATCTGAAGGTCGGTGAGGTTCTCACTTTAGATTTACTGTAAATCCCCTCCTCCTGTGACGCAATCTTTTTTTAAAGATTGAGACTTTTTATGTGGCAGCACTCTCTCAGTCCGATATATAAAATTGTGATTGCTATTTTATGTCTCTGATTCTCATGAGGAGAGTTTCTTTGCATGATAGGCATGATATGGGTACAGTATGCTGTATGCATTAAGAAATACCTGGATAAAGGATTTAAAAAGCAAAAAAAGACAATTAAAACAACCAAGACTAAGAGTTTAGAAGCATGATAGCAACTGTGACTCTGTTCTCAGGTACAGCATCAAAAGTTATAATGTCAGCATTGTAGGAGTTACACAACTTGGATGGATGGATGGATGGATGGATGGATGGATGGATGGATGGATGGATGGATGGATGGATGGATGGATGGATGGACGGATAAGTGGATGGACGAGTGTATGAAGGAGTGGATGGATGGATGGATGGATGGATGGATGGATG